GTCCCGGGGATCGAACCCACTACCCTGGCGTTACAAGCGCCATGCTCTACCAATTGAGCTACAGAGGACCACAGAGATGATCGTGGACTTCAGGAAACAGCAGAGGGTGCACCCCCCTATCCACATTGACGGGACCGCAGTGGAGAAGGTGGAAAGCTTCAAGTTCCTTGGCGTACACATCACCGACCAACTGAAATGGACCACCCACACAGACAGAGTGGTGAAGAAGGCGCAACAGCGCATCTTCAACCTCAGGAGGCTGAAGAAATTTTGCTTGGCACCTAAAACCCTCACAAACTTTTACAGATGCACAATTGAGAGCATCCTGTCGGGCTGTATCACCGCCTGGTACGGCAACTGCACTGCCTGCAACTGCAAGGCTCTCCAGAGGGTGGTACGGTCTGCACAAACGCATTACCGGCAAACAAAACAAAACAAAATAAAAATTTTTTTTTTAAAAATGCCATTTAGCAGACGCTTTTATCCAAAGCGACTTAGTCATGTGTGCATACATTTTTGTGTATGGGTGGTCCCGGGGATCGAACCCACTACCCTGGCGTTACAATCGCCGTGCTCTACCAGCTGAGCTACAGAGGACCACACTACCCGCCCTCCAGGACACCTACAGCACCCGATGTCACAGGCAGGCCAAAAATATCATTAAGGACATCAACCACCCGAGCCACTGCCTGTTCACCCCGCTATCATCCAGAAGGCGAGGTCAGTACAGGTGCATCAAAGCTGGGACCGAGAGACTGAAAAACAGCTTCTATCTCAAAGCCATCAGACTGTTAAACAGCCATCACTAGCACATTAGAGGATGCTGCCTATAGACATAGACTAGAAATCACTGGCCACTTTAAGAAATGGAACGCTAGCCACTTTAAAAATGTTTACATATATTGCATTACTCATCTCATATGTACACTACCGTTCAAAAGTTTGGGGTCACTTAGACATTTTCTTGTTTTCGAAAGAAAAGCAATTTTTTGGTCCATTAAAATAACATCAAATTGATCAGAAATACAGTGTAGACAATGTTAATGTTGTAAATGGCTATTGTAGCTGGAAACGGCAGATTTTTTTTTTAACGGAATATCTACATAGGCGTACAGAGGCCCATTATCAGCAACCATCAGTCCTGTGTTCCAATGGCACGTTGTGTTTGCTAATCCAAGTTTATCATTTTAAAAGGCTAATTGATCATTAGAAAACCCTTTTGCAATTATGTTAGCACAGCTGAAAACTGTTGTGCTGATTTAAAGAAGCAATAGAACTGGCCTTCTTGAGACTAGTTGAGTATCTGGAGCATCAGCAATTGTGGGTTCGATTTCAGGCTCAAAATGGCCAGAAACAAATAACTTTCTTCTGAAACTTGTCAATCTGTTCTTGTTCTGAGAAATGAAGGCTATTCCATGCGAGAAATTGCCAAGAAACTGAAGATCTCGTACAATGCTGTGTACTACTCCCTTCACAGAACAGCACAAACTGGCTGGGAGTGGGAGGCCCCGGTGCACAACTGAGCAAGAGGACAAATATATTAGAGTGTCTAGTTTGAGAAACAGGCGCCTCACAGGTCCTCAACTGGCAGCTTCATTAAATAGTACCCGCAAAACACCAGTCTCAACGTCAACAGTGAAGAGGCGACTCCGGGATGCTGACCTTCTAGGCAGAGTTGCAAAGAAAAAGCCATATCTCAGACTGCCCATCTTAATCTTGTCTTTTTATTGACACCACTGGCCTTAACCGATAAGTCGGTGACTGTGGCCTAGTTCCATTTTGTCTAGTTCCTCACCATTGAACACCATTGATTTGGAAAGCACTGGCTAAGTTTAAACAAGATGCCGGAAGTCCCAACATAGCCTATAGGATGTCTAGGTGGAGCCACCATAATTTTGCTGACATCATTCCATCCTTTGAGATCTATAAACTTCAAGGATAGGTGGTAATGGCTAGGGCCTAAAGGCTAAAATGGAACTGGGCCCATGCCTCCAAAATTCTTTGAGCATAAGGATATAACTGCCGGGTGTTGTTCATTTGGGCAGGCAACAGGAAACATAAAAAAAACTTATTGAAAAGGAAAAAGAACATGAGCATTTCTTTTTGGACCAAGTCTAGGGAGTCCCTGTTGTTTTCTTCTGATTGGTGCCTAATGAACACGACCTTGATATCATATTTGACCTTTGCCCCTCACCCCTATGGTCCTGTGTCCTCTCCATAGCAAACACAGCCTGGGCAGCCATGAGTATGTACAGAACTGCAGGAAGTGGGAGGCAGAGATCAAGCTCCAGCTGCTCTCCCAGAGCACAATGAGAAGGGATCTGGCACGAACGGTAAGACCCAAACCATCTATCAACTAACCAACCAACCAACCAATCAGTGACGTATCACTTTGGTGTGTGTGCTTGTCACAAAGAAAGACCAGCTAGATTGACGGACAGACTCGCCGAGAGGCCGACGGACAGACTCGCCGAGAGGCCGACGGACAGACTTGCCGAGAGGCCGACGGACAGACTTGCCGAGAGGCCGACGGACAGACTTGCCGAGAGGCCGACGGACAGACTTGCCGAGAGGCCGACGGACAGACTTGCCGAGAGGCCGACGGACAGACTTGCCGAGAGGCCGACGGACAGACTTGCCGAGAGGCCGACGGACAGACTTGCCGAGAGGCCGACGGACAGACTCGCCGAGAGGCCGACGGACAGACTCGCCGAGAGACCTGGACCTCACATCAATAGCTCGACAAACTGCACTCCAGAAATTAGCAGACATTGGCTGCAGTCAAAACTCAAAGTAGACAGCCTTCGGCCCTAAACCCTCAGCCGTTTTACATCATCACATCCGAGTGTACCTTAAATGTGCCTTTCCCAAGCGAGGGAGAGTGATGATTGGAGAGGCAACGTCATTGGTGGAAATCTTGAAGTTGAGTTTAAAAACAACCAACCTAAAGCTATTAATGTACCTAGCAAGCTAACGTAGCTAGCTAGCACTCCTGTCAGTTACAGTTACCCATAGCTGGCCAGCTAGTTTTATAGTTTGGTCATTTATTCCAATATTTCAATTTCAGAATTCCCAAAAATATGTTTATGAAGCTAGCTACCTTTTATAGGCTCTTCACTATGAGACTAAGCCAATTTGCCAGCGCTAAAATCGATGTCAATCTATATACAGTGGGGAAAAAAAGTATTTAGTCAGCCACCAATTGTGCAAGTTCTCCCACTTAAAAAGATGAGAGAGGCCTGTAATTTTCATCATAGGTACACGTCAACTATGACAGACAAAATGAGGGAAAGAAATCCAGAAAATCACATTGTAGGATTTTTAATGAATGTATTTGCAAATTATGGTGGAAAATAAGTATTTGGTCAATAACAAAAGTTTCTCAATACTTTGTTATATACCCTTTGTTGGCAATGACACAGGTCAAACGTTTTCTGTAAGTCTTCACAAGGTTTTCACACACTGTTGCTGGTATTTTGGCCCATTTCTCCATGCAGATCTCCTCTAGAGCAGTGATGTTTTGGGGCTGTCGCTGGGCAACACGGACTTTCAACTCCCTCCAAAGATTTTCTATGGGGTTGAGATCTGGAGACTGGCTAGGCCACTCCAGGACCTTGAAATGCTTCTTACGAAGCCACTCCTTCGTTGCCCGGGCGGTGTGTTTGGGATCATTGTCATGCTGAAAGACCCAGCCACGTTTCATCTTCAATGCCCTTGCTGATGAAAGGAGGTTTTCACAAAAAATCTGACGATACATGGCCCCATTCATTCTTTCCTTTACACGGATCAGTCGTCCTGGTCCCTTTGCAGAAAAACAGCCCCAAAGCATTATGTTTCCACCCCCATGCTTCACAGTAGGTATGGTGTTCTTTGGATGCAACTCAGCATTCTTTGTCCTCCAAACACGACGAGTTTAGTTTTTACCAAAAAGTTATATTTTGGTTTCATCTGACCATATGACATTCTCCCAATCCTCTTCTGGATCATCCAAATGCACTCTAGCAAACTTCAGACGGGCCTGGACATGTACTGGCTTCAGCAGGGGGACACGTCTGGGACTGCAGGATTTGAGTCCCTGGCGGCGTAGTGTGTTACTGATGGTAGGCTTTGTTACTTTGGTCCCAGCTCTCTGCAGGTCATTCACTAGGTCCCCCTGTGTGGTTCTGGGATTTTTGCTCACCGTTCTTGTGATCATTTTGACCCCACGGGGTGAGATCTTGCGTGGAGCCCCAGATCGAGGGAGATTATCAGTGGTCTTGTATGTCTTCCATTTCCTAATAATTGCTCCCACAGTTGATTTCTTCAAACCAAGCTGCTTACCTATTGCAGATTCAGTCTTCCCAGCCTGGTGCAGGTCTACAATTTTGTTTCTGGTGTCCTCTGACAGCTCTTTGGTCTTGGCCATAGTGGAGTTTGGAGTGTGACTGTTTGAGGTTGTGGACAGGTGTCTTTTATACTGATAACAAGTTCAAACAGGTGCCATTAATACAGGTAACGAGTGGAGGACAGAGGAGCCTCTTAAAGAAGAAGTTACAGGTCTGTGAGAGCCAGAAATCTTGCTTGTTTGTAGGTGACCAAATACTTATTTTCCACCATAATTTGCAAATAAATTCATTAAAAATCCTACAATGTGATTTAATGGATTTGTTTTTCTCATTTTGTCTGTCATAGTTGACGTGTACCTATGATGAAAATTACAGGCCTCTCTCATCTTTTTAAGTGGGAGAACTTGCACAATTGGTGGCTGACTAAATACTTTTTTTCCCCACTGTATATATATATTTTTTGCAAGCTCACGTCATTTTGTCTGACATGCCAAAAATGCAGCTGTGTTGATTAAATGTGACACTTCGCGGCCACCGGCATATGACACGTGACTACAGTTTGCATTGAATTGTGGGTCATGTCAACCCCATAAGTGATCAGAGTTCTTCATTTGCTCCCTTGAGCTAAATCGAGGGCCGAGGGGGCAACATTATTGAATTGGACCTCCACTTAAGATGGCAATCAAACTCTATCCGGTTACGACGGGGATTCCCCCAAGGGAAAGTGGCTAGCGTGAGGGCTGTGGGGGTAAAAATAACGTGTTTGGACTGCAGCCATTGAGAACCTAGTGAGACTGGAGTGAGACCACAGTGAGATCTCATTGTTTCATGTTTTTTGTGCACGTAGGCGGAAGACGACACCTCTCCGGTGGACTTGGAGAGGCACCTGAGCCAAGTGGAGAGGCCATTTAAGGAAAACATCACCAGGTAGGAACATGTCTTTCTGCTCCTTATCGCATCATCTTATTGATTGTCTGGAGCCAAATACAGCCATCTGGAATTCCCGATAACTATCTGTTCATGCTCTCTCCCCCCCCCCACCCCCCCCACCCCCCAGACGAGGCCTGGCCGACTATCTGGAAGGCTATCACAATCAAGTCAACATCTGCCTGCAGAATGAGGTAATTTATTAAGTTAATTCACCTCTGATGCTGCATTGAAGGCCCTAAACATGTGTGGTGGGGTTGTGGTGCAGAATTGCTATCAGGCGTTGAATGGGGGTTGTGCATTGCGTGGATAGTTCACACACAATTGCGAAAGGCCTATAGATTCCTGGAAGAAATGTGCTGTTTCAAGAATCACTTGCGTTGTTGAGTAACTCAATAGAGATTGCACACACACACACACACACTCTAAACAATGACTTTGTTCCACCACAGAGTACCCAGTATAAGACGGTGGATGGGGTGGTTCAGACGGTGAAGAACCTGTGCTGTGCCCTGGATGAGGTGGAGACCCAGGCCATCACGGAGGCAGTAAAGAGAGTCAAGCGCTCAGTCAACCTCCCCAGGACACGCTCACCAGAGGTAGGTTCAATGATGTATAAACATCATACGAATATATCAATGCATGTCTCTATGGGTTGGTCACTTCACTACTACCGATCTCTAACGAAACCTTTTGATGTAGTGCATGATGTAGATGCATTTTTATGACTATTTCACTATTAAAGTGTACAAAATGAGAAGTGAAGTGACAACATTGAACAGTGAACCATCATATTTGTGTATTGAAGATCTAATAATGAAAGAGAAGGATTGCTGTTTTGAATTTGGTGAATTTAGTGTGGAAGAGGTTGAAAAACTATTGTTATCCATCAATAATGATTAGCCACCAGCTTTAGACTACCTAGATGGGAAACTATTGAGAATGGTAGCAGACTATATTGCCACCCTATTTGCCATGTCTTTAACTTAAGCCTAAAGGAGTGTGTGTGTTCACAGGCGTGGAAGGAAGCTAAAGTAATTCCACGACCTAAAAATAGTAAAGCACCCTTTGCCGCCCAATCAGTTTGCTGCCTGTTCTTAGTAAACTGATGGAGAAAATTGTTTGAACAAATACAATGCTATTTTTCAAAGAACAAGTTAACTACTGACTTTCAGCATGCATATAGGGAAGTGCACTCGACTTGTACTGCACTGACTCAGATGACTGATGATTGGCTAAAATAAATGGATAATAAGATGTTAGTTAGAGCTTTATTGTAAGATTTCAGTACAGCCTTTGATGTTATTGATCATATAAAAAAAAAAATTACTCACTTGTTATGGCTTTACGTCACCTGCCATCACCTGGTTGGAGAGTTACTTATCCTATAGAACTCAGAGTATTCTTCAATGGAAGCTTCTCTAACATCAGATATTTACAGTGCGGTGTCCCTCAAGGCAGTTGCCTTGGGCCATTACGCTTCTCTATTTTTACAAATGATTTGCCACTTGTCTTGCAAGAAGCTAAAATGACTATGTATGCTGATGATTGTACACTACACATCAGCACCTACAGCCAGTCAGCTCATTGAGACTCTTAGCAAGGCATTAGTCAGTGTCAGAATGGGTAATTAACAATAAACGGGTCTTAAATGCATCTAAAACCAAAAGCATTGTATTTGGTTCAAAACATTCTCTTAGACCTAAACCTCAACTGGAGTTGTTTATAAAGGGTGTGACCATTGAACAAGTTGAAGTAGCTGAACTCCTAGGAGTAACATTGGATGGTCAGTTATTATGGTCAAGTCATATTGACAAAGTTGGGGAGAGGTATGTCTAATAAAAAGATGTTCTGCGTTTTTGACACATCAACTGTACTAGTTGGTCAGGCTCTGATCTTGTCCCATCTTGATTACTGTTCGGTAATATGGTCAGGTAAAACAAAGGAAGACCTAGCAAAGCTGCAGCTGGCTCAAAACAGAGCAGCACGCCTTGCCCTTAACTGTACACACAGAACTAACATCAACAACATGCATGTTAGTCTTTCATGGTTGAGAGTTGAGGAGAAATTGACTACCTCTCTTCTTTTTAAGAAACATTTGTGTGTTTTGTATACTCTTCCTGGGGTTTATTATGGATCCCCATTAGTTCCTGCCAAGGCAGCACCTACTCTTCCTGGGGTCCAAACACATTAAGGTACTTACATTACACATAAAACAAAAGGTAAAACAGTACATCATATAACACTATTACACCGCTACATATCTACAATACAAAATGTATAATACCACCATACAACGTTATTTCAATGTATGTGTGTAGAGTGCTAGCGTTTTGTGTGCGTATGTGTGTCTGTACCAGTGTATGTCTCTACACAGACCCTGCTCTTCCGTAAGGTGTATTTTTATCTGTTTTTTAAATCTAATTCTACTGCTTGCATCAGTTACCTGATGTGGAATAGAGTTCCATGTAGACATGGCTCTATATAGTACTGTGCGCCTCCCATAGTTGAAAATGCCTAACCACTTGTATAATCTATTTGCATACACTTCAAACAGACATACATACCCCACCAGACACACCACCATGGGTTTCTTCAAAGTACCCAAACCAAAAACAGATTTAATGCGTCACTCAGTTTTATGTATAGAGCCATGTAATCGTGGAATGCTCTGCCACCAGAGGTTACTCAGGCAAGAAGTGAAGTTACAATTTATTTTTTTATCACAGCGCCTCTCCTCTTTCTAAAGATCTAATTTAACTGTACTGTATATAAGAATATGTAGAAATGAAGTGTGTAAATAGTAATTGTGTTCTGTTGTCTTTCCAATATATCACTCTTATTTTATTAATTTTTCTTGTCTATAACAGTTCTGTTCTTTGTCATGTATTTGTACGTTTTATGGACCACATGAAAAGTAGCTGCTGCATGTGCGGCTGCTAGTGGAGATCCTAATAAACTAAACTAACAGCTCTCTGAACTGCAGTGATGGGCATAGGATAGTTTATCATGGACTGGAATTATATTATTCCAATCTGTTTACAATTCTATCTCAGGTGGGCTCCAAATCCTCAGGTAGCTCGGCAAATGGTGAGTGCTACAACAACCAGTCACATTTTTCATACACATTAGAAGTTTGACTCAGCAAGACTATGATCAGAATATCATCACACACAGTGGCGCAACTTCCTGCTTACAGAAATCAACAAAAAGAGTTCAAATCATTTGAGTTAACATGACCCTCTCCATACCCTTTGACTCCTCCAGGTCACCTCAGCCCCGTAGAGGAGAGCATGGGCTTCCTGACGGACGCCGTCTATGACCTGGCCAAGCTCTACCTGCGCTCCTTCTGCCCCGCCTCCTCCTCCTCTAGCTCCTCCCCTGACCCCTCCTCCTCCATCTCCCAGCATGCCGAGGGGGAGTCTCCTGCGGAGGGGCGTAGCAGTAAGGAGGCTTCGGGTACCACGGACCACCTGCAGTTCACCCTGTTCGCCATGCATGGCATCCCTGCCGCTTGGGTCAGCAGGTGAGTGTACCAGGCACCCACTATTGGCTTGACATGGTAGTGCAGCTAGCTAGCTATTTACTAGCACATCATTTTCTTTGCTACTAGCTACTTTTTGGGGGAGGGTTTGATAATAAAAATAACTAACAGGAAAGATCCCTCCCACCTGTGCCCCATACTCACCTAGCAGTCCAATAATTAACAAAATACAATATGGCACTTTACAATGTTTGGATGCTATGCTACACATCTGTCTTAATATACAAGTAGATTTACAAAATATACATGGGTGATAGCCCAAAAGAAATAGCCTCTGTATCAGGCTTAAAGACGTGCTCCAGTACTTTTACCACTACTGGCTAAAAAGTATACAAAAGTACAGGAGAATCCCTTTAACCTGGCCTCTCTGAATGGACACAGGTAGAGGGCAAGGCTGTACAGCCTCCCCTTGAGAAACCAAATCGAATCTGTCTAACAGGAGCTCAAACAGGCAGGCCTGCAGAATATAAGCACTTGGCCCCCAGGACCATACGATTACCCAATTGGCAATTACAACCAATAAACTGGATCTACAATGTAAAAGGCAATTTACACATCCATTGTTACTTCGGTACATTTGTCTTAATCAGACTTAATGATTATTAATGATATTTCAATACATGCATACATGGAACAATAATTTTCTCTTATTCAACGTTCCTACTCCAAAGCGGGTAAGAAATGGTTGGCTAAATGAAAATGTATCGTAAGCCTATCAAACATGAAACAGAAATGTCTACGTGTTGCAATAAAAGATACGGGGATAGAATGATGTAACGCTAGCAATTATTGTAGTATTAGATGGAATGTAGATTTACCACATAGGGCCTGTGCATTTAAACGTGTGAAAGCAAGCGCAAACATTTCAACAAGAGAAAAAAAAGCGCACTCCACTGGTGGGTGTTTGGAGAGCGCAAGTGAAGAGCAGCGCCTATGGTCCGTCTTCACCACAGTAATAATTAATTTTAAACACATTTCCAAATGCAAGCTTCATAACTAAATTCAACATTTCAAGCAATTGTTACATACCAAAATACCAGTAGGCCTATGCTAGTAATTGTTGCCCCATTGCTGATGAGCTATTGTTAATCACCAAACCATTTTTGGAGCTGCATATTTATTTATCATGGCAGTCCTCTTCCTATAACTTAATGTTGTGCTGCACCTGATCGTATTGCTGTACAGGGAACCAGCGATCTGTTCTCTAGCTCACCACCCGACATGTGTTCTTTGTTAGTTTGCTGGTACAATCAGAGTGGCGAGTGTGCGTTTCACTAGCCAAACTGTTGCAGGTTGTTTTGCAAGGGCGACGCTGCGGCTACTGTCTCTGGCTGCGTGTAGAGTAATCCACGTAGACTCTGTGCCACAAAATGAGTGACAAAGCATTACAAAACCTGGCCAGATAATTTCTCAAGTCAAAGTCGAGTCCCGAGTCTTGAGGCTCCGAGTCAAGTCTCATTATTTTATTTTCAAATCAAATTTGTGACTTGAGTCCACAACTCTGGTGAATGTTGCGGGAGGCTGGAATGTCTGCTAGGTGCTGTTGCTCGATAATTGGACAGCGACTCTTCTGCTTTTGCAGTTGTGCACCAGTTGCACACCTGGGAACAGATGCAATGAACTGAGCCAAGAAAGAGAGAAAAATTACATTTCTTTACCCCTAGTTACTGACCAGTCCCATCCTAATAATCACCTGTTTGCCCGTTTCTGAATGGACTTGTCAGTGCCTGTCATTTGGTATAACTTTCACTTTTTGTATTACAGCATTATTGCCCTGGCCAAATTCTATTGAACATATAAAAAAGTAGTACCATTAGAAGTGTTCTTAATTGCAGTAAGGAACACACTAGATACATTATGGCATTGCTGGAATCGTCCTTCATCATCAAGGTTTGAGTGTTCTGCTCTGTTTTGGCTAGAGTTTTATGACTCACGCACACACCATCTGTAGGCATGGTGATGCATCATGTCACCAGCAACAGTGAACGCATGCATACTGTGCTGTGTTGTAACACAAGACAGATGGCGTTGAGCAATAGGAAATCTTTTGGAATCCTAAATGGTTCACTGCCTGGTTCTTTCATTGGAGCTTATGGAATGCCAGGTCTTTCAGAATGTCAAAAATGTCTTTCATCAAAACTGTGAAAATAAACAGAGTGAATAATTTGTTCATTTCCTCCTCTTTCCTTCCTCCCTTGTTTTGCAGCTATGAGAAGTACTACCTGATGTGTGCTCTAACGCACAACGGCCGGAACCTGTTCAAGCCCATCCAGTCCAAGAAAGTTGGCACCTACAAGAGCTTCTTCTACCACATCAAATGGGACGAACTGTACGTCACTACTGCCCTCTACCCATATAAATACAATACAATACTATACTATACTATACTATACAATACAATACTGTTAGACAAGTCATTATACATAACACAACCATATGAATTTAATTGTATATTATTCTGTATTTATGGGTACTTGATCATGAAGCACATGACCAAATCAATAATAGTTTATCTAATCTATAATAATGTTGTATTGAATTATGTGCCTCTACCAATCTTGATTGCCCATTTAGGGTCCAAATGTAAACTAGGGTGAAATTTCCTTTGTGCCTGTTACACAGGCTCAGTCACCAACACAACGAACATAGCAGGACAATAATACAAACTGATAAGACATGACAACGTTAAAGGATTGTTACCTTGTAATAAGTGTATCTGTTGTTACCCATAATAAGTGTATCATTCGGTCAACCACTGGATACAATTACTAGTAATAATAGCAGATTTAACTTAGCAGACACTTTTATCCAAAGAAACTTAGAGTACAGTCAGTGCATACATGTTTAGTATGTGATTGTTGAACCCTCTTACCAACTGAAACACACACTACCAGTATATATCACAGACGATGCACATTCATACTTAAGCTAATGTGTGTGTTTGAGAGGAACTACACTACCGGTCAAAAGTTTTAGAACACCTGCTCATTCAAGGGTTTTTCTTTATTTTTACTATTTTCTACATTGTAACTACATCAAAACTTTGAAATGACGCATATGGAATCATGTAGTAACCAAAAAAGTGTTAAACAAATCAAGATGTATCTTATATTTGAGGTTCTTCAAATAGCCACCCTTTGCCTTGATGACAACTTTGCACACTCTTGGCATTCTCTCAACCAGCTTCATGAGGTAGTCCCCTGGAATGCATTTCAATTAACAGGAGTGCCTTCTTAAAGGTGAATTTGTGGAATTTCTTTCCTTAATGCGTTTGAGCCAATCAGTTGTGTTGTGACAAGGTAGGGGGGGTATACAGAAGATAGTATTATTATGTCCATATTATGGCAAGAACAGCTTAAATAAGCAAAGAGAAACGACAGTCCATCATTACTTTTAAGACATGAAGGTCAGTCAATACGTAACATTTCAAGAACTTTGAGCGTTTCTTCAAGTGCAGTCGCAAAAACCATCAAGCGCTATGATGAAACTGGCTCTCATGAGGACCGCCACAGGAATGGAAGACCCAGAGTTACCTCTGCTGCAGAGGATAAGTTCATTAGAGTTACCAGCCTCAAATTGCAGCCCAAATAAATGCTTCACAGAGTTCAAGTAACAGACGCATCTCAACATCAACTGTTCAGAGGAGACTGTGTGAATCAGGCCTTCATGGTTGAATTGCTGCAAAGAAACCACTACTAAAGGACACCAATAAGAAGAAGATACTTTCTTGGGCCAAAAAACACTAGCAATGGACATTAGACTGGTGGAAATGTGTCCTTTGGTCTGGAGTCCAAATTAGAGATTTTTGGTTCCAACCATCGTGTCTTTGTGAGACGCGGTGTGGGTGAACGGATGATCTCCGCATGTGTATTTCCCACCGTAAAGCATGGAGGAGGAGGTATTATGGTGTGGGGGTGCTTTGCTGGTGACACTGTCTGTGATTTATTTAGAATTCAAAGCACACTTAACCAGCATGGCTACCACAGCATTCTGCAGCGATACGCCATCCCATGTGGTTTGGGCTTAGTGGGACTATCATTTGTTTTTCAACTGGACAATGACCCAACACACTTCCAGGCTGTGGTTTGGGATGAGTCGGACCGCAGAGTGAAGGAAAAGCAGCCAACAAGTGCTCAGCATATGTGGGAACTCCTTCAAGACTGTTGGAAAATAATTCCAGGTGAAGGTGGTTGAGAGAATGCCAAGAGTGTGCAAAGCTGTCATCAAGGCAAAGGGTGGCTATTTGAAGAATCTCAAATATAAAATATAAAACACTTTTTTGGTTACTACATGATTCCATATGCGTTATTTCATCGTGTTGATGTCTTCACTATTATTCTACAATATAGAAAATAGTAAAAAATAAAAACCCTTGAATGAGCAGGCGTTCTAAAACGTTTGACCAGTAGTGAACATTGCAGTCAGACTGCGTGGAATCACTGATCTACAAAAATTGCCTTGCGTCCCAAATAACTACTCATCATGTGATCAAGATAAGTGATGCTGTGCCTTGCTTTGCTCAAACTGATCCACTCAAACACTCCCTCTCTCTCCAGGATCAACTTCCCCATGGCGGTGGCCCTGCTTCCATTGGAGTCCATGCTGACTCTCTCTCTCTTCGGGGTCCTGAACCAGAACGCCAGCGGCTCCCCAGACTCCAACAAACAGCGCAAGGGACCAGAGCTGCTGGGCAAAGTCTCCCTGCCCTTGTTTGACTTCCGACGGTAATGCACAACCACATTAATTTTAGTGGTTGACTGTGCAATTGCTGTGTGTCTGTGGTGTGGTATAGTCTATTTCAAGAGTTGATTGTGTGTAATAGCTGTCTATTCGGGATTTAGAATGTGTGTATGTTAATGGTGTGTGTGTGTGTGTGTTTTAGGGTGCTTGTGAGGGGGACCAAGCTGCTGTGTCTGTGGACGTCTCCTCAGGCTTCCTCTGCTGCAGCCGGGATCCGGAGGAAGAACCTGGCTGAGAAGATCATACTGCAGGTGACCACACCACTCTACATACACACACACACACATACACACCGCTCTACACACACATTTTAGTCATTTAGCAGATGCTCTTATTACATTTACATTTTAGTCATTTAGCAGACGCTCTTATCCAGAGCGACTTACAGTTAGTGAGTGCATACATTTTTTAAATATTTTTTTAAATACTGGAATCGAAACCACAACCCTGGCGTTGCAAACGCCATGCTCTACCAACTGAGCTACATCCCTGCCGGCCATTCCCTCCCCTACCCTGGACGACGCTGGGCCAATTGTGCGCCGCCCCATGGGTCTCCCGGTCGTGGCTGGCTACGACAGAGCCTAGATTCGAACCAGGATCTCTAGTGGCACAGCTAGCACTGCGATGCAGTGCCTTAGACCACTGCGCCACTCAGGAGGACAGTGGTCCAGAGTGCATACATTTTCATACTGGCCTCCCGTGGGAAACGATCCCACAACCCTGGCGTTGCAAGCGCCATGCTCTACCAACTGAGCTACACGGGGCAAATAATCACATTTTACATTTAGTCATTTAGCAGACACTCTTATCCAGAGCGACTTACAGTTAGTGAGTACATACATTTTTCTTTTCATACTGGCCCCCCGTGGGAATCGAACCCACAACCCTGGCGTTGCAAGCGCCATGCTCTACCAACTGAGCTACAGGAGGCCACACACACACCACTCTACACACATACACACCACTCTACACACATACACACCACTCTACACACACACACACCACTCTACACACATACACACCACTCTACACACACACACCACTCTACACACACACACACCACTCTACACACACACACACACCACTCTACACACACACACACCACTCTACACACACACACACCACTCTACACACAGGAATGCCCATATAAATGTGAAATTATACAAACAATATAATTGGGAATTACTGGAACGGCCCTTACCATTTAAGTCAATCTTCTGCACTTTTGTAATGTACAGGCACTGCTCAAATGCACACTTCCTCAAAGCAATCAGTGATTCAACTCCAGTGGAAAGCAAGCACCTGTTCAATCATGTTAGATCAGTTTTTACCTCAAGGAAATGTACTTCAAACAGGACCAAGGTCTCGCTCACACACTCCCCTTTCGCAAACATATTTCGCCTTCTGTGGTGACCTAATAAGTGTGTGTGTACGTGCCCTTGCGTGCAAGTTTGTTTGTGTGCATGTGTCTGCCTAAAGCTTACCGTATGCTTTCCAAACAGTCGAAACAGTTTGCGCATATATTACGACAATATTTAGTGATGTTATTGTTAGTTTTGGTGTTCAGCAGTGTTCAGCACCCGAAGTTCAGTAGCCGAGGTCTACGTCCCCACTCATTGGTTATTGGTCAACAGTAGGGATTCTTCAATTAAGTGTTTGTTGTCAATGAGAGACGACTAGTTTTCATGCACATTCTTTCACTTGAGAAACACGGCACTAAACATCTTAGCTAGATGCAAGAACTTAAACATTTGACAGATTTCTTGATTTATCTTAGATTGATTCAACCTATTTTGAAGAAGTGTTACTATATGTTGTTGCTATGGTGTCTCAAAAAGGGGACAAACAGTAATATTGCTGCTTTCTTCTCGTTTTTCAACCAAATGTATTTTGGTGCCAGACACATACATTCTCTTCGCCTAGTCGAGTTCTGCTAGGAGCAAACCAAACCTAGTATGCGGATGCCTTTACCATTCCATGACCTCTGACCCCCTTCTCTTCAGTTGGACTTCCCCAGCCCAGCAGTGGATGTGCTGTACGTGGGTCCCCGGGAGAGCCCCAGCCCTGACCCCAACACCCTGGAGGAGCTAGACCCTGACCTGCGTCGCCAGGTGGACAAACTCTGCAGCCGAGCCTCGACCTTCGGGTACGTATGAGTCACTGGTGTACTGGGGCACTTCAGTAAGGGCCCAACCCCCCTAACTTGAGATCTGCATATGTAACAGGCTAGAATTTTACCTAAATCCTGATCTATATCAATTGGAGAAAAATCAGACTTACGGGCGTATATCGTGTAACAATTTTGTGTTCGACTGTTCCGTGGTTGGACTGTTCCGCAGTTGGACTGTTCAGCGGTTGCTAAGAATTCTTATTTGGGGATTGTCTACAAGGTAACAGCTAAGTTTTAAAGATACAATATTATACTGTGGAGCTTTTTTCTTTGTTTTAGTGACGATGTAGTCCTCTATTTACTTTCTGATGAGATCCAGCCAAAGTAAACAGGCTACAACAGGAGGACAAATTTAAGGTGGCACTGACTGTGGTGACTACTGACACCAAATATACTACTGAATCAACGTCTTAGGCAAAGACACTAGCTAGTTGGCTAGGCATTATGCAAGAAGCTAGCTTACCTAAATAACAGTTTATATCTTAACTGTGTCTGTTTTCATAAGCTGATACTAGCTGCCATGACAACTGTTATAATTATAATAGTGTTATGTAGGGCCTTATGATGGACGTTTCATAAGTTTGTCATCATAACTGGGTTGCTTCTGTTGTCATAAGCTGATACCAGCTGCCATGACAACTGTTTTTATGTTTACTTTTCTTTACTGACTTTAAAGGACAAGAACAGTACAGTAGACAACAAATTCAGGACTGTTATATACAGTATATACCAATGAAGTAAAAGCGAAGCCTACTGACCTTACTGGGTGGATAGGGACATTAACCCCAGCTGTTTAGGAGAGATATCACACCTTACTGGGTGGATAGGGACATTAACCCCAGCTGTTTAGGAGAGATATCACACCTTACTGGGTGGATAGGGACATTAACCCCAGCTGTTTAGGAGAGATATCACACCTTACTGGGTGGATAGGGACATTAACCCCAGCTGTTTAGGAGAGATATCACACCTTACTGGGTGGATAGGGACATTAACCCCAGCTGTTTAGGAGAGATATCACACCTTACTGGGTGGATAGGGACATTAACCCCAGCTGTTTAGGAGAGATATCACACCTTACTGGGTGGATAGGGACATTAACCCCAGCTGTTTAGGAGAGATATCACACCTTACTGGGTGGATAGGGACATTAACCCCAGCTGTTTAGGAGAGATATCACACCTTACTGGGTGGATAGGGACATTAACCCCAGCTGTTTAGGAGAGATATCACACCTTACTGGGTGGATAGGGACATTAACCCCAGCTGTTTAGGAGAGATATCACACCTTACTGGGTGGATAGGGACATTAACCCCAGCTGTTTAGGAGAGATATCACACCTTACTGGGTGGATAGGGACATTAACCCCAGCTGTTTAGGAGAGATATCACACCTTACTGGGTGGATAGGGACATTAACCCCAGCTGTTTAGGAGAGATATCACACCTTACTGGGTGGATAGGGACATTAACCCCAGCTGTCTAGGAGAGATATCACACCTTACTGGGTGGATAGGGACATTAACCCCAGCTGTTTAGGAGAGATATCACACCTTACTGGGTGGATAGGGACATTAACCCCAGCTGTTTAGGAGAGATATCACACCTTACTGGTTGGATAGGGACATTAACCCCAGCTGTTTAGGAGAGATATCACACCTTACTGGGTGGATAGGGACATTAACCCCAGCTGTTTAGGAGAGATATCACACCTTACTGGGTGGATAGGGACATTAACCCCAGCTGTTTAGGAGAGATATCACACCTTACTGGGTGGATAGGGACATTAACCTCAGCTGTTTAGGAGAGATATCACACCTTACTGGGTGGATAGGGACATTAACCCCAGCTGTTTAGGAGAGATATCACACCTTACTGGTTGGATAGGGACATTAACCCCAGCTGTTTAGGAGAGATATCACACCTTACTGGGTGGATAGGGACATTAACCCCAGCTGTTTAGGAGAGATATCACACCTTACTGGGTGGATAGGGACATTAACCCCAGCTGTTTAGGAGAGATATCACACCTTACTGGGTGGATAGGGACATTAACCCCAGCTGTTTAGGAGAGATATCACACCTTACTGGGTGGATAGGGACATTAACCCCAGCTGTTTAGGAGAGATATCACACCTTACTGGTTGGATAGGGACATTAACCCCAGCTGTTTAGGAGAGATATCACACCTTACTGGGTGGATAGGGACATTAACCCCAGCTGTTTAGAAGAGATATCACACCTTACTGGTTGGATAGGGACATTAACCCCAGCTGTTTAGGAGAGATATCACACCTTACTGGGTGGATAGGGACATTAACCCCAGCTGTTTAGGAGAGATATCACACCTTACTGGGTGGATAGGGACATTAACCCCAGCTGTTTAGGAGAGATATCACACCTTACTGGTTGGATAGGGACATTATCCCCAGCTGTTTAGAAGAGATATCACACCTTACTGGGTGGATAGGGACATTAACCCCAGCTGTTTAGGAGAGATATCACACCTTACTGGGTGGATAGGGACATTAACCCCAGCTGTTTAGGAGAGATATCACACCTTACTGGGTGGATAGGGACATTAACCCCAGCTGTTTAGGAGAGATATCACACCTTACTGGGTGGATAGGGACATTAACCCCAGCTGTTTAGGAGAGATATCACACCTTACTGGGTGGATAGGGACATTAACCCCAGCTGTTTAGAAGAGATATCACACCTTACTGGTTGGATAGGGACATTAACCCCAGCTGTTTAGGAGAGATATCACACCTTACTGGGTGGATAGGGACATTATCCCCAGCTGTTTAGGAGAGATATCACACCTTACTGGTTGGATAGGGACATTAACCCCAGCTGTTTAGGAGAGATATCACACCTTACTGGGTGGATAGGGACATTATCCCCAGCTGTTTAGAAGAGATATCACACCTTACTGGTTGGATAGGGACATTAACCCCAGCTGTTTAGGATAGATATCACACCTTACTGGGTGGATAGGGACATTAACCCCAGCTGTTTAGGAGAGATATCACACCTTACTGGGTGGATAGGGACATTAACCCCAGCTGTTTAGGAGAGATATCACACCTTACTGGGTGGATAGGGACATTAACCCCAGCTGTTTAGGAGAGATATCACACCTTACTGGGTGGATAGGGACATTAACCCCAGCTGTTTAGGAGAGATATCACACCTTACTGGGTGGATAGGGACATTAACCCCAGCTGTTTAGGAGAGATATCACACCTTACTGGGTGGATAGGGACATTAACCCCAGCTGTTTAGGAGAGATATCACACCTTACTGGGTGGATAGGGACATTAACCCCAGCTGTTTAGGAGAGATATCACACCTTACTGGGTGGATAGGGACATTAACCCCAGCTGTTTAGGAGAGATATCACACCTTACTGGGTGGATAGGGACATTAACCCCAGCTGTTTAGGAGAGATATCACACCTTACTGGGTGGATAGGGACATTAACCCCAGCTGTTTAGGAGAGATATCACACCTTACTGGGTGGATAGGGACATTAACCCCAGCTGTTTAGGAGAGATATCACACCTTACTGGGTGGATAGGGACATTAACCCCAGCTGTTTAGGAGAGATATCACACCTTACTGGATGGATAGGGACATTAACCCCAGCTGTTTAGGAGAGATATCACACCTTACTGGGTGGATAGGGACATTAACCCCAGCTGTTTAGGAGAGATATCACACCTTACTGGGTGGATAGGGACATTAACCCCAGCTGTTTAGGAGAGATATCACACCTTACTGGGTGGATAGGGACATTAACCCCAGCTGTTTAGGAGAGATATCACACCTTACTGGGTGGATAGGGACATTAACCCCAGCTGTTTAGGAGAGATATCACACCTTACTGGGTGGATAGGGACATTAACCCCAGCTGTTTAGGAGAGATATCACACCTTACTGGGTGGATAGGGACATTAACCCCAGCTGTTTAGGAGAGATGTCACACCTTACTGGGTGGATAGGGACATTAACCCCAGCTGTTTAGGAGAGATGTCACACCTTACTGGGTGGATAGGGACATTAACCCCAGCTGTTTAGGAGAGATATCACACCTTACTGGGTGGATAGGGACATTAACCCCAGCTGTTTAGGAGAGATATCACACCTTACTGGGTGGATAGGGACATTAACCCCAGCTGTTTAGGAGAGATATCACACCTTACTGGGTGGATAGGGACATTAACCCCAGCTGTTTAGGAGAGATATCACACCTTACTGGGTGGATAGGGACATTAACCCCAGCTGTTTAGGAGAGATATCACACCTTACTGGGTGGATAGGGACATTAACCCCAGCTGTTTAGGAGAGATATCACACCTTACTGGGTGGATAGGGACATTAACCCCAGCTGTTTAGGAGAGATATCACACCTTACTGGGTGGATAGGGACATTAACCCCAGCTGTTTAGGAGAGATATCACACCTTACTGGGTGGATAGGGACATTAACCCCAGCTGTTTAGGAGAAATATCACACCTGGCACAAATGATTGTCTAGTTGTGTTTTTCCTGCAGGCTGGTGCCCTATACCTGCGCCCAGAGGGGAGTAGTGCCACGTCCAGCTTTATAACAACTAATGTCATATTATAACACTCTTATGTAGGGCATTATGATGTAAGTTTCAAGACTTCATCCCCAAATGACTCTCCAGTTCTCCCAGACCCAGACCATAGAAGTCTATCTGTTCTCATTCCAGAGTGTCTGTTCCCCCAGACGTTTAACTGTGGGCATATAAATGCCCACTTACACACTACCAACTAGTGCCAACCTCTGCCAGGCTGCCAGCCAGATCCATTAGGCTTTCCAGCCTCCACAGAGAGCCATTTCTTCTGAGGCGCTAATCCCTTTGACTTTCTCTGAGCGTTCTCTCATTTACTCCCATGTTAACCATCTTCTTCTTTTGCCGTCTGTTTTGTTAGGGTGTATTTCCGAGTCGTAAAGATTCTCTTAGAACAAGAGACTTCAGCTAGTGTGCACTTGTTCACTTCCCTTCACTGATTTAAAAGGAAATGACCGGTATAAGAAACACGATGAAAACTCCCACTAGCCCATGCTTTCACCAATCCAATGCTTTTAGATGTAGTAGTGAACTAAGTAGTAAACAGGTGCACACCCAGCCAGGGTAGTCCTAGATCACCAAGTTACAAAGGATGCACTAACATGGATAGTCCTAGATTACCAAATTACAAAGGACGCACTAACATGGATAGTCCTAGATGACCAAGTTACAAAGGACACACTAACATGGATAGTCCTAGATGACCAAGTTACAAAGGACACACTAACATGGATAGTCCTAGATGACCAAGTTACAAAGGACACACTAACATGGATAGTCCTAGATGACCAAGTTACAAAGGACACACTAACATGGATAGTCCTAGATGACCAAGTTACAAAGGACGCACTAACATGGATAGTCCTAGATGACCAAGTTACAAAGGACACACTAACATGGATAGTCCTAGATGACCAAGTTACAAAGGACGCACTAACATGGATAGTCCTAGATGACCAAGTTACAAAGGACACACTAACATGGATAGTCCTAGATGACCAAGTTACAAAGGACGCACTAACATGGATAGTCCTAGATGACCAAGTTACAAAGGACACACTAACATGGATAGTCCTAGATGACCAAGTTACAAAGGATGCACTAACATGGATAGTCCTAGATCACCAAGTTACAAAGGATGCACTAACATGGATAGTCCTAGATCACCAAGTTACAAAGGACACACTAACCTGGATAGTCCTAGATGACCAAGTTACAAAGGACACACTAACATGGATAGTCCTAGATCACCAAGTTACAAAGGACACACTAACATGTGCAATAAAAGGTATATCATCAGAGGTTACATTGCCAAGTAGTGGATGGCTTTAGACTGGGTAAGGTTGAAGCATTTTGGCATTGGTAGCGAGAGTGTCGCACTGTCATCCATCCTATTGCCAGATAGTGACGACCCTGTCAGCAGTGGTCTATGTTTTGACCCATCCTATTGCCAGATAGTGATGACCCTGTCAGCAGTGGTCTATGTTTTGACCCATCCTATTGCCAGATAATGATGACCCTGTCAGCAGTGGTCTATGTTTTGACCCATCCTATGACTCACCTACTGCCGTTGAGCAAGGCACTTAACCCCAAACCTGCTCCAGGGGCGCTGCTCTGTGGCTGACCCTGTGCTGCTCACAGACGGTCGTGTGTTTGTACAGTATGAGGGTACTGTAATAGCAAAATGAACAATTTCCGTTGTCTCTGTATCACCGATCAATAAAGATGTTTTGAATTGTTTATGTCTCTCCCTCTTCCCTCCCTCTCCCAGGTTGACGCGGGCCGACCGCCAGCTGCTGTGGGATCAGCGGCACCACTGCCGGACCCACACCCACAGCCTGCCCAAGGTGCTGGCCAGCGCCCCCAGCTGGGACTGGGGCAGCATGGCTGAGATCCACTCCCTACTCCACCACTGGCCCTCGCTCCAACCCGTCTGTGCCCTGGAGCTGCTTGACTCTAAGTATGTGTGGCGTGTACACACAGACAGACAGACAGACAGACAGACAGACAGACACACACACACACAGACGTTCTCTTGAACACTTGATACACTTGTGTTTGAGACTTTGAGAGAAGGTGTTTGAGAGAAGGTGTTTGAGAGAACTCCTCGAGTTTGAGTATGTGAAACTAGTTTGGTTCATAGTCAATAGAAAAAAGTTAGATTTGTAAAATGGGAGGTGCGAGTTGATATCACAGGAGTCTTATATTTTTCTCTGTGTGTTTACTTGCTTGTGGTTAGCGTGACAGCTTGAGATCTAAGAGAATGTAACCTATACTAATTCAATCACCTGTGTTTGACTGTAGTTCAATAAATAGTAGACAGTCAGATTGTACTTTTCTGTAAGGTATGTAGGTTGAAGGTCACTCTGTCTCTCTTTGTCTCTGTCCTGCAGGTTTGCTGACACAGAGGTGAGGAGTGTGGCTGTCAGCTGGATCGAATCCACCAGTGATGACGAGTTGGCAGACTACCTGCCTCAGCTAGTGCAGGTAAACAGTCTAGTGTATACACACACACACATACACAGGTAATCAGTTTGTTAGTGACTCTGAATGCTTTTCTCACCCCATCTCCTTGTCCCATGTCCTTGTGGCTCTCTCAGGCCCTGAAGTTTGAGTGTCACCTAAAGAATGCCTTGGTGATATTCCTACTGTCCAGAGCACAGGGCAACGTCAGCATCGCCCACTACCTGTACTGGTGAGTCTCCACCCACTGAACTAGTAGCATAGTATATAGCCCTCAAACTCAACTCTGGACCTCGAAGCTAGTTCCACTACTTTTTTTAATTGTTCCCCTCTAATCAGGGACTTATTTAGACCTGAGACACCAGGTGGATGCAATTTTTTATCAGGTAAAACAGAAAACCAGCAGGCTCCGGACCTCGTAGGGTAAGAGTTGAGTATACAGTATAGTATATAGCATAGCATATAGTGTATATAGCATAGCAAATAGTATAATATTTAGCATAGTATAGTGCATAGCATAGTATAGTATATAGCATAGCATAGCTTGTATATAGATATACATGGCTTCTGCTAAGTGGTCTGAACCTTTATGGAACAGGAGGTAGTGTGCTTGTCCCGGACGCCCAAAACAGAGAATTTTAAGTCGGTATCTAGGCTGGGAAACTTAATCGTAGGACTACATGTAGTAAGAATAGGAAAGTAATTTGCAGTTTAAATATTGTCGCCAAAAATACACAGTAATCTATACGGAGCTATTAGCAGCATCGACTGCTTTGTCCGATCCCGTTGTACTCTGATCCTCTCTCCCTACCAGGCTACTGAGAGATGCAGTGCAGGACCCAGCGTTTGGCCGGAGGTATGACCAGGTGCTGGGGGCCCTGCTGTGTCTGTGTGGGGCCGGCCTCCGGGATGAGCTGGACAAACAGACCCGCCTGGTCACTCTGCTGGGGGCGCTGGCCGAGAAGGTCCGGCAGGCCGGGGGCTCCACACGACAGGTGATGGGGCTTGGAGACACACACACACCCACACACACTACTAGAATGTCCAACCTATACCTCAGGGAGCCTCTATAAAGGCTTGATAACACTTTGTTTTACAGTCTGCTGTTAATCCTGTATTTACTTATGGTAGGGATGTCTTCTTAACCCAATGAGTCTCGCCGGCGTGATTTAGGACTTCGTACCCCTTTTAAACTGCTTTGATTTATCTTGGCCAGGTCGCAGTTGTAAATGAGAACTTGTTCTCAACTGGATTACCTGGTTAAATAAAGGTAAAAGAAAATACATTGTGAGTTTGAGCTACAGACTTATTCTATTTCTTCGGCATCTGTTGGTACCAACCAACCGTCAGTGTGATTAACCGGGGCTGAGCTAGAGCGGTGTTTGTGAAACATGGGCGGATCTCAAAGGGGGCCGGGTCTTTTTTTACAAAAACATCTGTATAGTCAGAATGGTTTGAATTACAAACTATTAAAAGCTATCTATGAAAAGCTCACACTCTACCGAACATGCACGTGCAACATGTTTTGTTCTATGACGCTCACAAGCTACACAAGGTTTGTTAGAAGGTAAGGGGTTCTTCTACATAGAAGACCAAAGGAAAACCCTGTACATAGTGTCTGTAATACTTTAATAAGCTCACATAGTTTCTGTCACAAACTCCAAACTCCACAGAGTTGTCACTGACTAGTTGGATACTCATTTCCCACTGAGCAAAGTATTTCTGTACTTAATGCATTTATATAAATTCATTTATCTGTTTTTTTGCTTTGGCAATAAAACTCATGAATTCAACTGTTTATGTCAAATAGGGTTGTGTTCTACTTGGAACCCTGGTTGTCTTGAAAAGAAAATGGTACAATACTTCCTTGTGAGGCTAAATATAAGGGCTGGACATGCAGATAAATGAAAGTCAGATAAATGAAAAGCCGATTTTTGCTGGGGTCTCAGGACTGATGCGGTTAAACCACTTTTCTTTCATTTGGTACCAGTTATTTACCAATTGTGTTTAAGTTAAACATTTTACCTTGTAACTCCGTTGGAAATACCAGCTAAACTATGAAATAAAGCGTTCTCAAACCTTAATTGCTTGACACTAATTAAACTATTTGCTTGTGTGTGTGTGTGTGTCCAGATGGTGCTCCAGGAGGGTCTGGAGAGGGTGCAGTCGTTCTTCCAGAGGAACAGCTGCAGACTGCCCCTCAGCCCCAGCCTGGAGGCCAAACAACTCAATATCAAGGTAAGTCCATTGTCTCTGCAAATGCCCATTTGATCATCAAAATCATTTTTACCATCTCAACAACATATGGGCCATGACCCATACCAGGGTTTCCGTTAGCCGGTAAATGCCGGGTTTTGGCTGATAAATAAATAAATCAATCAATTAAAATATATATATATACACACACAGTGAGGGAAAAAAAGTATTTGATCCCCTGCTGATTTTGTACGTTTGCCCACTGACAAAGAAATGATCAGTCTATAATTTTAATGGTAGGTTTATTTGAACAGTCAGAGACAGAATAACAACAAAAAAATCCAGAAAAACGCATGTCAAAAATGTTATGAATTGATTTGCATTTTAATGAGGGAAATAAGTATTTGACCCCCTCTCAATCAGAAAGATTTCTGGCTCCCAGGTGTCTTTTATACAGGTAACGAGCTGAGATTAGGAGCACACTCTTAAAGGGAGTGCTCCTAATCTCAGCTTGTTACCTGTATAAAAGACACCTGTCCACAGAAGCAATCAATCAATCAGATTACAAACTCTCCACCATGGCCAAGACCAAAGAGCTCTCCAGGGATGTCAGGGACAAGATTGTAGACCTACACAAGGCTGGAATGGGCTACAAGACCATCGCCAAGCAGCTTGGTGAGAAGGTGACAACAGTTGGTGCGATTATTCGCAAATGGAAGAAACACAAAATAACTGTCAATCTCCCTCGGCCTGGGGCTCCATGCAAGATCTCACCTCGTGGAGTTGCACTGATCATGAGAACGGTGAGGAATCAGCCCAGAACTACACGGGAGGATCTTGTCAATGATCTCAAGGCAGCTGGGACCATAGTCACCAAGAAAACAATTGGTAACACACTATGCCGTGAAGGACTGAAATCCTGCAGCGCCCGCAAGGTCCCCCTGCTGAAGAAAGCACATATACAGGCCCGTCTGAAGTTTGCCAATGAACATCTGAATGATTCAGAGGAGAACTGGGTGAAAGTGTTGTGGTCAGATGAGACCAAAATCGAGCTCTTTGGCATCAACTCAACTCGCCGTGTTTGAAGGAGGAGGAATGCTGCCTATGACCCCAAGAACACCATCCCCACCGTCAAACATGGAGGTGGAAACATTATGCTTTGGGGGTGTTTTTCTGCTAAGGGGACAGGACAACTTCACCGCATCAAAGGGACGATGGACGGGGCCATGTACCGTCAAATCTTGGGTGAGAACCTCCTTCCCTCAGCCAGGGCATTGAAAATGGGTCGTGGATGGGTATTCCAGCATGACAATGACCCAAAACACATGGCCAAGGCAACAAAGGAGTGGCTCAAGAAGAAGCACATTAAGGTCCTGGAGTGGCCTAGCCAGTCTCCAGACCTTAATCCCATAGAAAATCTGTGGAGGGAGCTGAAGGTTCGAGTTGCCAAACGTCAGCCTCGAAACCTTAATGACTTGGAGAAGACCTGCAAAGAGGAGTGGGACAAAATCCCTCCTGAGATGTGTGCAAACCTGGTGGCCAACTACAAGAAACGTCTTACCTCTGTGATTGCCAACAATGGTTTTGCCACCAAGTACTAAGTCATGTTTTGCAGAGGGGTCAAATACTTATTTCCATCATTAAAATGCAAATCAATTCATAACATTTTTGACATGCGTTTTTCTAGATTTTTTTGTTGCTATTCTGTCTCTCAATGTTCAAATAAACCTACCATTAAAATTATAGACTGATCATGTCTTTGTCAGTGGGCAAACGTACAAAATCAGCAGGGGATCAAATACTTTTTTCCCCTCACTGTGTGTATATATATATATATATATATATATATATATATATATATATATATATATATATATATATATATATATATATATATATATATATATATATATATATATACAGTAATCCCTCGTTTATCGCGGGGGTTACGTTCCGAAAATGACCCGCGATAAGTGAAATCCGCGAAATAGAAAACTTTTTTTTTTTTACAATTAGCAACTATTACATGTATACAAATACAGTGACTCACGTGTAGGCCGTTTCGTCGACATTATGGGTTTAGAAGATGTTCGAAATTACAAGATAATTTGGCCAACTTAATGTAAATTTGCCAAGCTGTTTTATGTACGTACACATAACTGCACGAGACGACAAAATGATAGCACAATTCGTAGCATGTTTTGATACAAGAAGCGGGAGTGAGTTTTTAGCGAATCAGAATGCAGAGCACAATGCACCAAAAAAAAAAAAAAAATGCATTATGAAAATCCGCGAAATAGCGAATCCGCGATAAGTGAACCGCGAAGTGGCGAGGGATCACTGTATATGAAAAGCGGATAAATACAATTGTTGCCAGCAAAATTACCCCCCCCCCCCCCCAAAAAAACAACAACAACAACATCCATTGCAATTGTGTTGATTATTCCAGTTTCCAGTGTGTCCGCCGAGAGGGGATTCTTTCTCCAAAACAGAGTAAAGACAGCCTCCAGTAATGAGGCTGATATGCATCAAGCTGCTCCAAGGAGTTGGAGAGTTTTGACTTCCCAACAGCAGCGGCTCACTTTGAGCAGGCCAATGTCCGCTGCAATCGCAAGTAAATGAAAGGCAAATGATTGTGTTCGTCAGGCCCTTTCCTAGCAGTTCTGCTGCCGCCCTAGGCAAGATCAACATATGCCACCCCTGTATAGTATAAAGATGTGGAATGGATTGATAGACTAGGGTAATGATGTATCATGCGCAATTTGTGCATTTCAATTGAGCTTATTCAGTGGCACTTGGAAACAAAACATTGTTGTCAACTATTCACAGTGGAGTTAATGTTGCAATCACTAGGCAGCCATCTGCCTACAGTAGGAAACAGAGTTATCAATAAGCCACATATATCACACATGACACGAGTCACGACCCCACGATAGTTCAAATGACAATAAACATAACATTTATTAACATCATCCAGTAGAACTGTGAAAAGAGTGAGATATAATTTGAGGTTTGGAAACAAGTGCTTTCATAAATGCATGGCGCGGTCCTCGTTTCACAGGAGCATTTTAAAATAAACTTTCTCTCAATGAACCAGCCTTAATTAATTTAGTTTATTTACATATAATTTCTTCATTTTATGGCCACCTAGAGTGTCCTCTTTGCACTGCTGTGGGGAGGGCTGGCCCGGTCATGGCTAGAAGGCATCCAGCTTTTGTCAAATTAACATAAAAGGAGATTATTTTAGCTAACACTAACCATTTTCCTAACCTTAATCTCAGTCCCCTAACCTGCTACGTTAATTCTCCAAACCTGCTACGTTAATTATCGTAACCTGCTGCAGAAGTTCTCCTAACCTGCTACGAAAAGTCAAATCTGACGTTAATTTGAAAAAAAGCTGGATCCATTCTAGCCATGACCGGCCGGCCCTCATGTTCGTAGACAACCATGTTTTGTTATTTGTTAGGCCTAATTAAAATGTTCATGCCTAGGCTAAATAATAATAATAATAATAATAATATGCCATTTAGCAGACGCTTTTATCCAAAGCGACTTACAGTCATGCGTGCATACATTTTTGTGTATGGGTGGTCCCGGGGTTCGAACCCACTACCCTGGCGTTACAAGCGCCGTGCTCTACCAGCTGAGCTACAGAGGACCACGTAAATAAATTAGAGGCTAAATTACAAAGAGAGGCTAAATTAAATTAGAGTGGCCTAGATTGTATTTGAAAACAGCTGTGTTTTGTTATTTATTAATGAAAATGTTCATACTAATAGCCTATAAGACAGGTCGTTCACAAATGATATTATACACATATATTTTGAAGTTGTTTTACTACTGTGTAGGTGACTTGTTCTTCTAGGCTAAATGCTTTTTTCTTTTTTTAATGATATTCATTTATGATTTATAGCAGGGATGAAGACACAATGGGTAATGTTTTGCTTAGACAATGCTAATTTCTCTTCTGTTAAGACTAATTACAATCATGTAAATGTGATTTTGAGCACCGTGGATGGACGCCCTAATGCGTTTCGCACCCAATGCATATGGATGTCCGGTACATTTAAGTCTTGCCGGTCATGAGTTGTCCTGACCCATACTGTAGTCGTCCTAGTGACTAATGATGTCATCATAACCTCCACCATCCAAATGCTGACTGGCACTTCATCTACAGGTCATTTCAGGTACCCCCACCACCTCTATTGTAAGAGGCCATTGACTAGAATACAATATCTGGGCCTGTTGATCTAATGTGTGTGTGTGTGTGTGTGTGTGTGTGTGTATGTGTGTGCGCACGTGTATATGTGTATGTACAGTCGTGCTCCTTCTTCAACTCCAACGCGGTGCCCTTGAAGCTGGCCCTGGTGAACTCCGACCCTCTGGGAGAGGAGATCAACGTCATGTTCAAGGTGGGTGGCTGGGACACGCTGATCCTAGATCAGCACTCCTACTCTAAATACAGGCCGGGATACACACCTGGGACGTATTTAGAGTAGGAGTGCTGATCTAGGACCAGTTTTGCCTTGTAAATAGCTGATCCTATATTAACACTCCTATTCTGGCCATGCTTTGTGAATGGGGGCTCACACATACAAATAGAATAGCTATCAGATTAGACTACTAGATTATATTTCTATGAAGCCAGAGTCTCTGAAAGATGCCAAGTTCCGTAGACAAGCAATTTATCACAAATGTAATACTAAGTAGTCCATGAAATACCTTGACATATTCTAGACACATTCTCTGGAAATACCTTGACACATTCTCTGCATGATTTATGGCACACTTAACCATTGCTTCGGGAGTATTTGAAGCTTGAAGGAATGCAGGAATACATTCTAAAGAGTTTTCTTTGTGTTTTGATTTGATGCTATAACAGCTTGATATCAACGCTGCATTGTCCATTATCTTCCCCACAGGGAAGAGATCGGTTACTACACTCGTTTGCATCGTCTTTCATGGTTGAAACTGCACCACCTGGTGGCATAACATAACATAACACCAGGCCCTGACGATAGAATGTGCATGGGAGTCTTTGCTTGACCAGACTTGCAGATACACAGATGGAATGAAACTCCGTAATGAGAATATTAGAATAAGTCCTCTGTGGATGGTAACTAACGTGTCTCTTGGTGTGTGTGTTTTTGTCTGCTTGTGTGTGTTTGGTGTGTGTGTGTTAGGTGGGAGAGGACCTGAGGCAGGACATGCTGGCTCTGCAGATGATCCGGATCATGGACCGCATCTGGCTTCAGGAGGGACTGGACCTGCGCATCGTCAACTTCAAATGCATCTCCACCGGGAAAGACAACGGTACTATACACACAGACTAGAACTCATATACTCAAATCACTAACTAAATCATTCTGATTTGAATGAAACTTACTGAAACCAGTTTGTCCCCATGACAACACAACCTCTGCTCTGATTCTACCATTCTGGCCATGACAAAGCTTGCTTCAAAGTCAATGCAACTGCACCGTCATGGCCATATTTCATATTTCAATGGGTGATTGTTAGATGATTGCTGCTGAACTTGGTGTTCGTCATCACATTACATCCGGTTTACTAATTTATAATTCAGTGTGTACTCATGCCATGCCTGTGGTTTTGACATAGTGTGTGTGTGTCGTGGTGCTGTATGTTGCCAGGTATGGTGGAGCTGGTGCCGTCCTCCGACACCCTGAGGAAAATCCAGGCCGAGTACGGAGTGACGGGCTCCTTCAAGGACAAGCCCCTGGCGGAGTGGCTCCGCAAGTACAACCCTGCTGAGGACGAGTACGACAAGGTAACTGTCTCACCCCGAAACCTGACACTCAGACCTTTGAACCCTAACCCAGACTCCTACAGAGGATGAGGTTGAGAAGATGAACAACTGACATCTACTCTTTATTTCTTGTCTGTATTCAATGTGCATATGTTACACACTGATTTGTCCTTGATCAATGCATGATTCAGCTGAAAGTCCCAATTTACGTATGCAGGTCACATTTAGCTCAGAGTTCCGAGTTCTTTTTAGAGATAGAACAAGATACTGTAGGGCTTTTCACACTGAGCTGAATGGAGCCAAGCCAAATCAAGCTGTTCTGAGCTGCCCTGGTCACACATCCACCAAGGTTGCTGGAACAGTGCTGAAGAGGGCAATGTGAACAGAAAAAATCCAAGCCAGCACAGTTTGGTTTGGGTCGGCACGATAGTGTGAAAAGGTTCTGTGTCTCTCACTCCTCCTCTCTGCCCCTCACTATGTGTGTCCAGGCTTCGGAGAACTTCATCTACTCGTGCGCGGGCTGCTGCGTGGCCACCTACGTGCTGGGTATCTGCGACCGCCACAACGACAACATCATGCTGCGCTCCACCGGTCACATGTTCCACATCGACTTTGGCAAGTTTCTGGGCCACGCCCAGATGTTCGGCAGCTTCAAAAGGTAAGAGTGTGACCTGGGGTGGTCTAGTGGTCTAAGCTGCTTCCTCCAGAACACATGTAACAGTGTTAGCATGGGTTCAAATCTGACCCACTAATCTTCTAGCACACTCCCTCCCTCACTCCCTCCCTCATTACTCCCTCCCTCACTCTCTCCCCAAACGTTTACTGTTTCTCGCTAACCTATTCCCACTGCTTATTAAAAGTAAATTCTGTGCTTAGTTCAAGTACTAGAAGTAAAGGTTTATTGACAACAGGAACGTGCGCTCTGAGAACCATTTGCACTCAAGATGGGGCCTGAGTGTCTACTGCTTTTGTTCTTTCTCTGATTTAGACCTGGGAAACCAGAATGTACCAGGCAAAACAGAAAGTAGGTTGCATGTTGTTTTCAGGTGTCCATACAAAATGACATGTAGCTTGGTTCAAGATGGACTCCGCAGTAGGGGGAAACGGCGCCACTGTCCGCCCCACCGCCGTTGTTATTGTTTTTTGTTTTGTTGAGGAAGCGGAGGTGAGGAGCGTCGCGCAGCGTGGTAAAAACAAATGTGCAGTAGATATTCTGCTGTTCTATTGCACGTGATGTCTGAGGGAAGAAAAAAACGGTATTCGTTGGTTGTAGTAACTTTGTTGTTGTAATATTGCAAACAGACGTGGCAGTTTCACCATTTAAGGATTCCAGCTTTATACCAGAACACTCACTATTTAACCAGGTTACATGTTTCCCATGTTTTATTGAGCCTTTCTCTTCCTGTCGCTCCCCTTCTGCCAGGGACCGTGCTCCATTTGTGCTTACCTCTGACATGGCCTACGTGATCAACGGGGGAGAGAGGCCCACCAGTCGCTTCCAGCTGTTTGTGGACCTGTGCTCCCAGGCCTACAACCTCATCCGCAAACACTCAGGCCTCTTCCTCAACCTGCTCTCCCTGGTAATAACTAACACTCTGCTGTCAAGTTCAAGTTCTAGCCTGGTCCCAGATCAGCGTGTGCTGTATAGCGGACTCCTATGGTTGTTGTCATGCCAAACATTTAACATGACAACGACCATAGGAGACAGATGGTGCACAAGGAGACTGCTTCATGAAATAAGTGTTTTTAAAAGTGTGATGCCAGCCTAGTAAATAACTTGTAATGGTTACTTTGGTGTTGCCTGGGTACTGTTTTTTTGTTAGTACTTGGTGATGGCCCTCTTCTTGGTCTAAGGAATTTTTTGAGTGTACCTTTGTGATTCAAATGCTCTACTCTAGCCTCATAAATCAAACCTTGCTGGCTACGGTATATTACCTTCCTCAAGTCATTGGTTCTTAGTCTTTTGTTACTAAATCATTTCGTTGTACATTGTAATAATGTATTGCAATTGCAATTATAAAGCCCTTTTAACTAGGTCTCAAAGCAAAACAAATTCACACGTATGCGTGCGTGTGATTGACAGATGACGTTGTCAGGCCTACCAGAGCTGACAGGAACTCAGGACCTAAAGTATGTATACGACGCTCTGCAGCCCCAGACCACCGATGCAGAGGCCACCATCTTCTTCACCAGGTACATATATACATATATTAAAGGTCAACTTCCCCTTATGAACCAACTTATCTGGTTTTAAACATCGATATGAGTCAGAAACGGGTTGGGAACCAGTTCAAGGAACCGAACCAAAAACCGTAAAATAACAGAATATTTTGAGGAACAGAATCAAAACCGGGAACGAATGTGATCTATACTGTTCCGGAACAGAACAATTATTTTAAAAGCATGGGAACCGGTTAATAATGTTATTTTACGTTCCGGGCATTTTTTACAGTCACACAAAAAAACGCAACAAAGCGCCTATGCAAGGCCCTCACTCTGTCACTCAGAAACGTATCCCAGTGTCTGCCTGCCAGCTGGAACATCTTTCCCACTGTGTGTACTTGTGTAAGCTTTCCTGCCCCCTCCCCGGCCGAAGCATAGTCTACTAGCTTATTACTGACGTTACAAGTGTGATTAAGAAATTGGGGAGATTTTTATGAGAGAATAATGGATTCACTTTTTCAACGTTAGTTAAGGATATTATAGTTATCACGTTTCACATTGGATTTATTAACTACAAAAAGGTAAGACGTGTTTTTTTTTTATTCTGGTGCCGCTCTACAGACATGCTTGCTAACTAACGGTAGCTAGCACAATTTTGTACATCGCGCTGTTCCGTACATTTGACCTTATTTTAGTGCCCCCAAAAACGTAATACTTCCAGGTCAACTGTAATATGAATATCATTGTAAAGCACAATTTCTTCCCTTTCCAGCAAAATCAATGACGAGACCGTCATGCTGCCCGTCTCTGCATGATTGAAGAAAGCAATGGAGCTCCGCCGGGTCTTAATAAAAATAGCGGTTGGGGAAGCGAAAGCGTCATAATGAAAGGGGGAGATATATAGTGTGGGGAACCGGCTTTTTTCACCCGATTTGTCCAACTTATCACCTCTAAAATGTAAATAAAACACTATAAAGAGTTTATATAATGTCTCATTACATACCTATTTGAAGTATTGTGTCGAATTTGAATAGGATTTTTAGGGCGGTGCTAAATTTTTTCAATTAAACTGTGGGTGTCACGGTTTTTGAGAGTCATGATGGCTCGCAGTGATTACGTGAAAAATTTACAATTGATTGAATTAACTATTGATGAACTCACGAGTAATTAACTTTACACTCACCATTACACTCACCATTGATCATTTCTTGTTTTTAATCTGCGAGAGAAGCGCTACACCTAGTGTAAAGAGGCTGTACGGCACAGAATGAGTTGAATAATGCGTGCGGTACATTACGTCGTGACATGTCACACTTTAACGTACAGTGTCAGCGGGGTCAATTTTTTCAACTTTTCTCCAATACTATTGGTCCATTACCATGTCAATCAACACTGAATCGAAACTTAGTTCACACCCCAGATTTTGACGGCAACACAGTCGCTACAGTCCCATTAGTTTTCATTGCAGCCTCGTTTGAATGCTGCGGTTGCCCACATATGGACGGAACGGGGTTAGCTACTGTTAGCTAGTTTTGGTCCAACGTTAAGCCAACTCTGAAGTGTCAAAATTGACTACAAAGTGTTAATTATCGTCATAAAATATTTCGCACAAAACTGATTTTTGTGAGTTCGTCACGAGTTACTGGAGGTTTGGGTATGGATTACGATCGTGCCCACTTGCCCAGTAACACAAGAGAAGCAGTTGTGTGGTTGCGCTCTATCAGCTGCATGCGCTCTATCCAATCATAGCAGCCAGAACCTCCAGACCGTGAGACAGACCTGCCCATTACGCAGCCCCTCAGACTTGTTTACAGAAGACAACACGTCGCCATTGTTATGTTGAAATAACCCTTGGCCCTAAGCCTTTATCTAGTGTCAATCCAATCACTCAAGTCAATCACTTGAGAATTGAAACAATCAGAGCGCACTTGTATCCTAACTGCAACTTGTCAATATTCCAAAACCCATTTGTGACTTGTTTCTACTGCGACCTGTTATGAAACACTGCCAGACAGACGCATACTCTGTTATTAATAGATAGTGAGAAAGTTGTGAAAAACTAAATGGCACCGAAGCACACGTCGCCACTCGCCAGTGACTTGATAAACTGATTGTGGCCTGGCTGCTCAATGTGCCTGCTAGCTACTACTTGCTAGCGTCATTGACAAACACAGAGTTGGAACTTAGCTTGCCAGCTAGTGATTTTGGGCACTGATAAACAGTGTGTAGCTTGTGCTTTATTTACGATAGTTTGACAGCTGATGAGGAAGTTGTAGACATGATATTGTTCTCAGAAATCAGTCCTGAGCACGCAGCCAGATAGACTATATGCAGTGCGCTGACTAGTTTTTCCTGCAAATGTTTTCACTTGAGAAATACTGCACCAAAATCCTTAGCTAGATGTAAAATTGCGTGACTAAGACCTCCTCTGCAAAAACCTCTAAATTAATTACAGATTTCTTGATTTAGCCTAGATTAATTTTATTAAGTGACTCTTTTCAGAAAGTTCCTATGTCGTTTCTACGGTGACATACGGTTGCTTATTCCCTCCTGATTTCGGGAATCCTCCAACCAGGATCTCGGGAAAACCAGCAAATTTATTGAAAGTACCCGGAATTTTGCAACACTCAGGAGGGACAAACAACAATACCTCCCAGGGTACGATATGCGAACATAACACACCCACATTAAACCACACCCTCAAGACAACTCTCGTTTCTTAATGAGTAATCTTCAAAATGAGGCCAAATCAGGAAGCGCAGTCTACCTTTAACATAATATATTATATCAGAGGCCACCATCTTCACCAGGTACTGTCTGTCAAGTGTTTGCTTTCCACAAACTCTCTGAATATCTTGAAACATGGTGCACTGCTTCACTTTGAGCCTCTGTCACTGTCAATGTGTTCTGCCTTACAATGCAAAATGCACAAGAAGACATCATTAACTCTTACTATGTTTAGTAGCTTGAATTAGTTTCACTTGAAAAAGGCAATCTGTAGTCTCAATTAAAATATAACTTAGATTTACTATTCAATTTCAGCCGTCACAATTGACGCAGCACAATACTTGATTTGCAACTGTCGACTTTCCCACAATGCCCAGCTGGTGGCAGCATAACAATGATGTATATAATCCCTGGATCGCAACCAATCCTCCGTCATTAACACAATGGAAAGGTGAAATGCTTTATTATCTAAATGTTGAAAGTGTGTGGGCGATGGAGAGAAACAACATGGTGCGTTTTGACACCATGTGGTGGAGAGTGATGCGGGCGCTGGAGAAGGGTCTGGTCAGGTGCGATGTAGTTAATGTTTGTGTGATTTACATTTACGTCATTTAGCAGACGCTCTTATCCAGAGCGACTTACAAATTGGTGCATTCACCCTATAGCCAGTGGGATAACCACTTTACAATTATAATTTTTTTTGGGGGGGGGGGGTAGAAGGATTACTTTATCCTATCCCAGGTATTCCTTAAAGAGGTGGTGTTTCAAATGTCTCCGGAAGGTGGTGAGTGACTCCGCTGTCCTGGCGTCGTGAGGGAGCTTGTTCCACCATTGGGGTGCCAGAGCAGCGAACAGTTTTGACTGGGCTGAGCGGGAACTATGCTTCCGCAGAGGAAGGGGAGCCAGCAGGCCAGAGGTGGATGAACGCAATGCCCTCGTTTGGGTGTAGGGACTGATCAGAGCCTGAAGGTACGGAGGTGCCGTTCCCCTCACAGCTCCATAGGCAAGCACCATGGTCTTGTAACAGATGCGAGCTTCAACTGGAAGCCAGTGGAGTGTGCGGAGGAGCGGGGTGACGTGAGAGAACTTGGGAAGGTTGAACACCAGACGGGCTGCGGCATTCTGGATGAGTTGTAGGGGTTTAATGGCACAGGCAGGGAGCCCAGCCAACAGCGAGTTGCAGTAATCCAGACGGGAGATGACAAGTGCCTGGATTAGGACCTGTGCCGCTTCCTGTGTAAGGCAGGGTCGTACTCTCCGAATGTTGTAGAGCATGAACCTGCAGGATCGGGTCACCGCCTTGATGTTAGCGGAGAACGACAGGGTGTTGTCCAGGGTCACGCCAAGGCTCTTCGCACTCTGGAAGGAGGACACAACGGAGTTGTCAACCGTGATGGCGAGATCATGGAACGGGCAGTCCTTCCCCGGGAGGAAGAGCAGCTCCGTCTTGTGATGTCTTTGTATGTGTATGTTCTGTATTGTTGAAAATGTTTTAATAAAATAATAATAATACCTGCATTGCTTATGCTATGTATTGGCTAATGAGAGGTTTTGAAGCCAGAAAAGCAGTCCCCCATAGGAATGAATTGAATTCTATAGTATTTCATTTAAATAATTTCAAGGACAAAATTGCATGTATTTAAGTATTTTTGTTGTTGTAGTGAGGACAGTAACATTAGTACTTTAACCCTTGGCCTACCATGGTCGCACCCTGCTGGGAAATCGAATTAACCCTCCTGTTATGTTGTGGGTCAATTTGACCCGTTTCCACTTTTGCGTTGTCTAAAATACTAGTTAACCACTCTTTTTCGCCATGAAATTACATGACTTTTCCTCATTTAGGGTCATGAACCTAACTGCAAAATGTGGACACACTGATGTGTTGTGGAATGTCTGTGTACATTTTGTATACAAACATGATGTTGTGGGTCATTTTGACCCGGAGGCTTTCATGTGTATATATATTTGCACAGGTGCAAAACAAAAAAGTGTCTTTGATTTATTTTGTTTTGACTGGTCCTGGTTGCACTTTTAGAATTGTGTTTGGGTTAAAAAGGGCTTTCCCAAGCTTCTCCTCAGTGTGAGAGCAGCAGGTCCCTGACACAGACACTCAAAAATGAGCTCCAAAAGATTTTCAATCAATGAAGTCTTATCACAAATTCTGGACTGTGACAGTGAAAAAGAAGAAGAGGTTTCAGAGACAGAGGATATTTCAGAGATAGAGGACAATGCTGTTGATGATCCAGATTTTGTCTTCATTGAAGAGGATTCAGAGGAGGAGTCTGCCGTACCATCCCCTACATCAGATGAGAGACAGAGCATGCAACAAGCATCATCAAGAGAAGAGAAGACATGGAAGTCTAAAGATGGTCATATTGAATGGTCACCGTCACCACAACGAGGTCAAGGTAGACTCTCAGCTTCCAATGTAATAAAAATGGTTCCAGGACCTACACGATTTGCTGTCACTCGAGTCCATGACATACAATCAGCTTTTGAGCTCTTTTTACCCCAAGCAATAGAGAAGATTGTTCTGGACATGACCAACTTGGAGGGGAGCCGTGTGTTTCAAGAGAACTGGAAGCCACTGGATCGGATTGACTTGCATGCATACATTGGATTGCTCATATTAGCTGGAGTCTACCGGTCAAACGGAGAAGCAACGGCCAGCCTGTGGAATGAAGAGAATGGAAGGCCAATATTTCGGGCAACAATGTCTCTACAAGAATTCCACATAATTTCTCGGGTGATTCGCTTTGATAACCGTGATACCAGACCGGGTCGACGTGAAAGAGACAAACTAGCTGCAATCAGAGATGTATGGGATAAATGGGTGGAAATTCTACCGTTACTGTACAATCCCAGTCCTCATGTTACAGTTGATGAACGCCTTGTTCCATTCAGAGGACGTTGTCCCTTCAGACAGTATATGCCAAACAAGCCTGCAAAATATGGCATCAAAATATGGGCAGCATGTGATGCCACATCAAGCTATGCATGGAATATGCAAGTTTACACTGGGAAGCCACCCGGCGGAGTGCCTGAGAAAAACCAGGGGATGCGGGTGGTGCTGGACATGAGTGAAGGGCTGCAAGGTCATAACATCACGTGTGACAACTTCTTCACATCCTACCGCCTTGGTGTTGAACTACAGAAGAGAAAGCTGACCATGGTTGGAACAATCAGAAAAAACAAACCTGAACTTCCCAGTGAGCTTCTGAAAATGCAGGGCAGAACTGTGCATTCCTCTAAATTTGCTTTCTCTGAAAATGCAACTGTTGTTTCATACTGCCCAAAGAAGAACAAGAATGTTCTTGTAATGAGCACAATGCACAAAGATGCATCGCTGAGTGCAAGAGAGGACATCAAGCCACAAATAATACTGGACTACAATTCCACCAAAGGAGGAGTTGACAATTTGGATAAAGTCACAGCAACATATAGTTGTCAGCGCATGACTGCCCGCTGGCCTTTGGTGATTTTCTACAACATTGTGGATGTGTCTGCTTACAATGCCTATGTCCTGTGGACTGAAATCAACCAGCAATGGAATGGTGGCAAATTGTACCGACGCCGGCTTTTCCTAGAGGAGCTCGGCAAAGCTCTCATCACTCCCAAGATCCAGAGGAGAGTCCGGCCTCCTCGGTCGACAGCAGCTGCATCTGCCGTCCAGAAAATTCAAGCTGGACCATCAACACATGCCTCCAATCAACCAGAAATGGATCCAGTGGATACAGGCAGTGGCAAGAAACGGAAAAGATGCCAGCTCTGCCCCCCTCGACAAGACAGTAAAACAAGCACCACTTGTGTAGAATGCAATAAATACATCTGCAGAAAGCACACACACACATTGTGTTCAACATGTAGAGAGAAAGACTGAAGGGATAATATGGACCAATAGGGGGGGAAAAAACCTACTTGGGGAACCTTTAAAATCTTGTTTGTGAGAAAGGAAATATGTTTAACAAATAGTTCTTAAATATTGTTTAAAAAAAATAAAAAGTATTGTATTTCTTCTTTCTGAAATGTCTGATAAGACAAAATAAAGTTGTTTCTGTTTTTACTTAATTCTTTGACTGTCTTGAGTGTGTTTAAACTGTGCGGGTCAATTTGACCCGTAACATAGTGGATGTAATTTTTTTTTAGCATAACAGGAGGGTTAACATAAATAACATAATAAAACAAATCCCCATTCAAATCCGTCTGTTTAAGCAATCCACCGCATCCGCCGATATCGCCCTTCCGCATCTGCGGTGAAAGCTAGAGCGGTGTTTGTCAGACCATGAGACATCCCAAAATTCAGTCTTCTCACGAAAACGTCTGTATCGTCGGAATGGTTTGGCCTACAAAACTATTATCTATTGAAAGCTGAGACTCATGAACACGATGGGGTTCTCCGTTTTGCTCTAGGACACCCACAAGCCTCACAAGACTTGTCTGAAGTCGGTACAGCCTCTTCTGTCAACTTCTGTCTGTAGCGTCCCAACTGTTTGGGCTACACACTAATATGACCCCTCTGTGGAAAGCTGAGACTCACGAACAAGATGGGACGCCCACAAAACTCATCAGAATGTCCCCAGTGCCAGTTAAAAAAATTAATGGAACTATATATAGAGATAGTTTAGTGCCTAAAATAAGGGGTAAATACATGTTAAAAACATGTTTCCGGATCTTTCATATATCTCTCAGATAGTCCCAAAAAAATCTGTCTGTCCTATCTGTTGTTCCATGTAGTGAATCTGTTATTTAATTTTAATATGCCATTTAGCAGACACTTTTATCCAAAGCGACTTACAGTCGTGTGTGCATACATTTTTACATATGGGTGGTCCCGGGGATCGAACCCACTACCCTGGCGTTACAAGCGCCATGCTCTACCAATTGAGCTACAGAGGACCACATCCAATGTGTTTCTATTGGCTAATAGCAGTAATGCCAAATTCAATGTTTCATACCAAAAATATTTTATATATATTTTTGATACCTTAAGGGGTCTTACAATTCTAAATAAAATAGCTAAACTATCCTTGGTATGACCATTTTAAAACAATTCCATATGTTAGCTTAGAACTCCCTTCAAAACAGCACCCCCTGTCAGTCATCGAGTGTATATATAAATCATTGCAGCATAACATCATGAACGCCTTAGAACTCCCAGTTACTAGCCTGCTATTAGCCATTTTATCATCCATTTACCTCCTGTCTCTCTTCTCCCTCTGTGTAATAGATTAATTCAACAACATACTCCCTTTTGTCTAAAGTTTAACCTTCTTTCCCACCTCCCTCCCTCCAGGTTGATCGAATCCAGCCTGGGCAGCGTGGCCACCAAGTTCAACTTCTTCATCCACAACCTGGCCCAGCTGCGCTTCTCTGGCCTGCCGTCCAACGACGAGCTCATCCTCTCCTTCTCCCCCAAGACCTATACACTGAAGCAGGAGGGGCGCATCCGCGATGCCTCCATCTTCTCCTTCCAGAAGAGATACAACCCCGACAAGCACTATGTGAGTCTCCAACCAGAGACGTACATATATGAATGTGTCTATTGATGTGTTTACATACACCATGGTCTCACTGTTCCTTCATAGACAGGGCCAAGCTGCCCTATAGGGATGCCAGAAGAACACATATCTGGCATATAAAGAGTTTTGTGTAAATGAAAATATATAGAGTAGTCACAACATCAATGGAATTCTGAATAAGAAACTCAAATTCCACCCCCTCTTCCTTCTCTTCTTCCTCCTCCTCCCCTCCTCCTCCTTCCCCTCCTCTCCCTCCTCTCCCTCCTCCTCCTGTAGACGTACGTGGTGAGGCTCCTGCGAGAGGGACAGAGCGAGGCCCAGTTTCTCTTCCGCACCTTCGATGAGTTCCAAGAGCTCCACAACAAGCTGTGCATCCTCTTCCCTCTGTGGAAGCTGCCAGGGTACGCACACAGACACACACACAGACACGCACACAGACACACACACAGACATTTGTGGAGAACCTAGAACCTGAGGCTGTCTGGAAGTGGCATAGCATTATTCTGTTCCCAAAAATATGTGGTAAAGGTTGAAAGTCTGCCTTATTGGACCTTAGAAAGCCAAAAGTAACTTACATTTGTGCAAAGATAGTAATAATATTCAAAACGATATAAAAACAATTGTGCTTTAACTCAGTGCCTTGCGTTGTATGTGGGTAATGTATGCTTCCCTTCCAAGTGTAGCTCCCACTTCTACCACAGATGCACCCTTCTTGTTAGTGCACTAACCTTTCCCCGTCCCCTCCCTAGGTTCCCTAATAGAATGGTGCTGGGCCGTACCCACATCAAGGACGTGGCCAGGAACTCCAACAGCACAAACACGACTACACCACGACGACAACACCCACACCATCCACCCACACCCCACAACACACCACCCACACACACCACACCAACACCACAACACACACCCACAACATCACCAACACACACACCCACTAACACACCACACACACACACACACACCACACCACACCACACCACACACAACTGAACCACACCACACACACAACACCACGAAACCATCCACCACCACAAACACCACGAACATGCACACCACACACACATCCACAGAACCACCACACAACAACAAACACCGAACACCACACCACACACACACAACACACAAACCAGCCACACCACACACACACACCACCAACCACCACCCACAACACACAACACACCACCAAACATCCACCCACACACACACACACCTAACCAGCCACCCACACACAACACCCACCCACAAACCAGCACACCACCACACACACACACACCACCAACCAAGCCACACCACACACACACCCACCGAACCAGCCACCACACACACACACACACCCACCAACCAGCCACCACCACACACACACCTAACCACCACCACCACCCACAACACACCACACACAAACCCAAACCACACCAACACAACACACACACACCCACCAAACCACACACACACAACACACAACACACACAACACACACACCACCACCACCCCACACACACACACCACCACACACAAAAACACACACCAACCAGAACCAGCCACCCACACACAAACACCCACCTAACACCACCACACCACACACACCACCACACACCCACACACACACCACCCACACACACACACAACACACACCAAACCACACAGCAACACCCACACCACCACAACAACCAACAACCAACCAACCACCCACACACACACACACCACCAAACCACCCACCCACACACCACACCACACCACCACCAACCACACACCACACCACACACAACACCACCAACACCACACACAGCCACACCACACCACACACCACACCATCCCACACACCACACCACCCCACCACAACCACCAACCACCACCACCCACCAACACCACCTAACCACCACCCACACACACAACCACCAGCCACCCCACACACACACACCTCCAACACCACACCCACCATCACCACACACAACATCCACCCATCCAACCACACATCCACACCACACACACACACACCCACCTAACCATCCACCACATCCACACATCCCACACACACCACCCCACCTCAAACATCACCCCCCATCCCACCCACACACACACACCACCTAACCATCCATCCACCCACACACACACACACCTACCTCCACCACCACACCACACCCAACACCATCCACCCACACACACACACCCACCTACACAAGAGTTATAAAAGCGCAATGCACTCCATTTTCACTGACCATTTTCTCTCTCTCTATCAGTGTGATCTTATCTATACATTCTTCCATCCGATCGCAAGAGACGACAAGACGGAAGGATTGGAGGCGACGGCCAGAGCACCAGGTAAACCTGAGTCCTACTCTGCCCACTTTCTCTACGTATGACCATTGTCGCAGCTACAGTTTTTAAAATGTGATTTGTTCTGCAGAGGCGCCACCGTTGAGTCCCACCTCAGGCAGAGTTGAGGGGGAGGTGAAGCTATCCGTGTCCTACAGGAACAGCACACTCTTTATCATGGTCATGCACATCCGAGACCTGGTGAGTACGGTGGCTCACAGGGCCCAATCCTAACTAGCGCACAACTCAAAACATTTGGCATTTTTATAATGAATTTATACTTTTATCCTCAGCCTTACAGAGGGGGCTGAGGCAGCGTGGTGGTTAATTTACCATTAAACATATCTCAAGGGACATTTATTTGCCCCTGATGGGATGAATAAAGTTGCATTGGATTGAATTACGGACGTGAATCCTCAGTTTGGCCTTACCCAATGCACCATTAACTAGGTCCATGTCCATCCGCCTGCTCATAGGTATCTGAGGAGGGGACAGACCCTAACCCCTATGTGAAAACCTACCTGCTCCCAGACCCCCACAAAACCTCCAAGCGCAAAACAAAGATATCCAGGAAGACCAGGAACCCCACTTTCAACGAAATGGTGAGTGAAATCGGTGTAGGCTATTGGTCATTTCCATTAGGGCCCTGTAGCAAATTGTCATAGTTAACGGCTTTGTGTCCTGACCTGCTGTGTCACTTTGTAACTGTTATCCTGATCTGTTTGTGTGACTGATCTAACTCATACAAACTGCTGCCTACTCGGGCTAACTGCTGCCTACTCGGGCTAACTGCTGCCTACTCGGGCTAACTGATGCTAGCATGTGCTAACTACTCTGACTACCTCCTCCTCAGCTGGTGTACAGTGGCTACAGCAAGGAGACCCTGGGGCTGCGGGAGCTGCAACTGAGCGTGCTCAGTGCCGAGTCGCTGAGAGAGAACTGCTACCTGGGTGGCGTCACGCTCACACTCAAAGACTTCGACCTCAGCAAGGAGACTGTCAAGTGGTACAAGCTGACCGCCGTGCCCTACTTCTAGACGACTCCACCTGAGAACAACGCTGCTTCTCGCCTCTCTTAGAAAACTCCCGAGATACACCCATATAAGGGCAACGGAACTGGGAACTGGCCACACCCCCCAGGGTGGTGCCTCAAATCCACCCCCTTCCTCCTCAACCTCAAGGCCCTGTCCAGAAACCATCCCTAGCCCCTTAGGCCCTGTCCAGTAACCACCCCTTACCCCCTTAGGCCCTGTCCAGTAACCACCCCTAGCCCCTTAGGCCCTGTCCAGAAACCACCCCTAGCCCCTTACCCCCTTAGGTCCTGTCCAATAACCACCCCTAGCCCCTTACCCCCTTAGGTCCTGTCCAATAACCACCCCTAGCCCCTTACCCCCTTAGGTCCTGTCCAGTAACCACCCCTAGCCCCTTACCCCCTTAGGTCCTGTCCAGTAACCACCCCTAGCCCCTTACCCCCTTAGGCCCTGTCCAGTAACCACCCCTAGCCCCTTACCCCTTTTGGCACTTCATGTAGATCCTAAAGAATTATAAGCAATATGGTTGTAGCACCGACCTTTCAGCTCTACACAAGTGCCTAAGAGATAGATAGGGGCTAGGGGTTGATTCTGGTTGGGGCCTTTCTCGCTCTCTGTCTCTCCCTCTCACTAATCAAGTTTGTTTCCTCATTGTAGCAAACAATCTCCACTTATTTTGTTTGTTCAAAAACTATAACACAGGAGCTGTAATGTTTTGTACATTTTGACATTCGAGGACCAAAACATCTTAGCTTCAGAAGAGTGTGTATATAGGTTGACACTTCTTTTTTTTGTTTTCTTTTTTTTTGTTGAAGTGGCTCATTTTTACATAATTTTTTTCCTACGTAAACAAATAGGAAGCGTCTGGTTTCCTGCTAAGCTAGCTGAGAACGTCTGGGAACGTACCCATCACAAACCAGTCTCCAGGAAAGAGAGTGATCTTGTGTTATCCAATCACGTGCCAAAAGAACTGATGATGATGGCAAACCACTCTCTCAAAGGGGAAGCGAACATGGTGCCTTGTTTGTGTTCACAATCTCTTATACACTCCACTTTAGCCTTATCGCAATATATTTTATAAAAAAATTGTGATAACCCAATTGAAAAAAAGAAATCTATTCTGTCAAATAATGTCAACAGTTCTTCCAGTGTGAGCAGGGTTCTGGACTAGCATCAGAAGGTGTTGGAACGATCAGCTCCCACTTGTATGCATACTACCATGTATTTTATATGGTAAATACTTGACTCCTTTTCACTGCACCTTTTTGGGGATTTGTATCACGAACATTCTCTTGTCTGTGCATTTGATGGTGTAGGATAAGGTTGCCTCAACACTGATCCAATGCCAGTTTTTCTTTCACCTCCTATTGGTTTTAAGGGTAGGATTTGGGGTGGGGTAAGCTGATCCTAGATTTGTGCTATAGGGGTAACTCTGAATTGGAGCCATCAGGACAAAAAAAGGGAAAGACATCCAGGGCAGGAGATACACTGCTTCCTCTGAGCCGACTACAAACCTAAAGATGAAATAATGAATTTATCCGGGAGTGGTTTTAAAGAGAATGTCAACAAAGACAATTATGATAAGCATCACTCACACTATGAATAGTGACTTGATCCACTATTTTAATGACTGTATGATTTTCTATTAACATGGCCAGTTATTTATTCTTAATTGGTTACCTTAACCCGAATGAATCGGTGTGTACTGTAATCCCTCTTTCCTAAAGCAAATTAAATGTTTTTTGAACAAAGATTGTGACAGCGTTTTTTTATGATTCATGTTGGGAAAGGGCCAATAGAATCAGTCATATTGACTCTCATTGAGAGTTATTGCACCAAAGAAAGGTCTGTATTTCCATAGCCCAACAACTGGATGTTCCGTTTTTCAGGGGAAATTTAAAAAAGAGAGCCTGTAACGCTAGCAAGGCGACACTCTATATTAACTCCTCCACATTTACTGGATTGGTTGATGGACAGTGCAGAAGAGAATCTCTCCCAAAAGTGTTTTTCTATTCCTCAAGACCAGTATGTAGGATATCTATTTTCAGGCGTTTATTTTACGCCTGCACGTTAGGTTAGTATTTCCATGCAGCTGATTATCTCTCGAGGATCCAAAGGGCAATGCAACCCTTGGGTTCTCATTCGAAATATTAACCACAGCGCTGCCAATATGAACAATAGTCCTGAAACTCTTAGGCTGTGTTAAGACAGTGAGACCAATTCAGATATATACTTTTGACCAATCACGTAAGATCTTTCCACATCGCTTTTTAAGAGCTGATCTGATTGGTCAAAATACCAAAATTGGGCTGCCTTTCTAAACGCAGCCTTACTGTGTGCGGTTTTAACAGATTCCCACAGAGGTGTTTTTTTGCGTGGCACATTTACCTGAACTACGGAAAGTCAGGAGGGAACTCTGAAAAAACGTTGTCTCGAAGCTGTGTTACATAAACCTAATTGGAAATCTGTGGTAAAACAGCTAACGGTAAGTGTACCTTTTGTATTTGTAAAGTGATTTTTGGATGATATTTAAGTTGCGTGTTCAAGGTGTCCAAAACCTCGGCACCCCACAATTAGCCAAACAATGATAATTTTGCAGTAAAAACCCAAGTTAGACAGGCCAAGAACAAAGTCAATTTTCCTCATGCCAGTTAGGGTAGAACAATGACTTATTCCTTACAGTTATGTCTGAATTATTCCACAAAAGAGCTTTATGTGGGGAAAAGTTGTGCAGGAAACATTTTCCAGGACATTAAAGCTTGTTGGTGAAACCTAGCCAATTTAGCGGGAAATCTTTCAGGAATATAATTACATTAGAGTAAAAATTGAAGACTTCACAACTTATTTAACACAATGTTTAGAATGAAATACCAAATAGATTCTGTATTGACCAAACATCTTTTCAACCAATTGATCTTGAGTGTTATTTATGTCAACAAAATCCAACACTTCCAGACCTCCTTCAGATCTTTTAATTGAGAGGACTGACTTTTTTTTTGTTTGAGACATATTTTCCAGATGAAGTCAAAGGTCTTGTTGATCACTTTACAGGTAGAGGGGTTTACAAATAAAGATAATGAGGGGTAGATAGCTTAGTGGTTAAGAGCGTTGTGCCAGTAACCGAAAGGTCGCTGGTTCTAATCCCCGAGCCGACTAGGTGAAAAATCTGTCGATGTGCCCTTGAGCAAGGCACTTAACCCTAATTGCTCCTGTAAGTCGCTCTGGATAAGAGCGTCTGCTAAATGACCCCCCCAAAAAAATCAGGATTGTGGCTATCAAGTCAAGCGCATCTGACGTCATTTTCCACGCAGGCGCAACATTGTTCTTTCAGTCTCGTGGAGGCCCTCTCTTCTTCTACCGCCATCATGGGTCGCATGCATGCTCCCGGGTAAGCTTTCTTTTCAACGTACAAAAGTGTTTTTCTAACATATGTTATTACATGTATTTACCATTTATACAATGGGAATATATTGTGTACACATGACATCCACATTGAACCGTCTAAATTGCCCCAGTTCCAATAAATGAGTTTGAACAAGCTAGCCAGCAATAAGCTAGTTACCGCTAGCTAAGGTTAGTTAGCCAACACACTTAACTGCATTCATGTGGGATGTACGTTAAAGTCGGTAAGTTAAAGGATCCAGCACATGTTTATCACTGGCTTATTAATGGGTTAGCTAGTCAGGCCTACTCCCTGGTGAAACATTTTAGTCTTATTGTCTGCAATAGAGCCGTTGGCTAGTTAGTATTTGACAGACTTCACTAGCTAGCTATAACCACCTCAGTCGGTTCATTGAATTTGTAGGCAATGAATTGCACGGTACTCACATTTTTTCAACTTGTTTGCTGCCACAGTTTACTTATAAGTTGACAAACTAATGTGAATATAATTATTGTTGCAGAAAGGGCTTGTCCCAGTCGGCGCTGCCTTACAGGCGAAGTGTCCCCACTGTAAGTATAACGGTTCATCAATATTGTTGGGTCAATATTGGTCTGCTGTATACTATACGAGTGGATGTAGGCAACTAGTGTCTACTATCTACATAAGACTGGTAAGTAAGGTGGGTGGACACCTACCTGTTGCAGTCCTTTTTCATCTGAATTTAACTTGCCGATACTTTCTGAATTCTTCTCACCAACACTTCCCGACCTCATCTCATTGATCAAGACAGAACAAAACGGAATTCAACAGCTTATGTCAAGTTGCAGAGCGTTTGGAGTAAACTGTTTCCGTGGCAAAGCGTTAAATTATGGTGTGCAACTAATGAGTCCACCCCAAAGTACTGCATGTCACAGTGCAATTTGGATTAAGAGTCGTAATGAATGACACCCAGATGGCACATTGTATATTATTTGGGGCAGCAGGTAGCCTAGTGGTTAAGAGCGTTGGGCCAGAAACTGAAAGGTTGCTGGTTGGAATCCCAGAGCCGACTAGGTGAAATCTCTCAATGTGGCCTTGAGCAAGGCACTTAGCCCAAAATGTAATTTGTGCATGGTGCAAAAAAATAAATGAAATAACTAGCATTTTCTGACTGCCTGGTTATCATGGACAACTAGCCACAGGAGTTTATAAGCCACCAGAGCCTTCCAAATCCAGAATGAAGTATCGACAAGTTACGTTTGGGTAAAATACTTCTGTATTTGGTGAGTATGGTGCCAATACCAATATGTATCTGTATGGGAACGCCATATACCGGGTTACAGAATGTGGCTAGGGGTTACTATCGTCATTTCCTGATCTGCTCACTGGACACGGATATGAAACGGTTCCTCAATCCCAGGGTGTATTCATTACACATTGTTGCAAAACGCTTTAGTATGGTGCAACAAAAAGAGGAAAATGATCAAAGATATGCCTAGTTCTTTAATAAAACGCCGCTTTCCAACTCCAAGCTAGGTAGCTAAAGCAGCCAGCCCATTGTATTCCGGCAGCTTTTCATCCCAACAAGCTTCACACTTTAAAGGATTCCAATGGCCTGCTTTAGCATTAGCTTGGAGATAGAAAGCTGTGTTTTATGAATAAGCTAAATGTATTTTGATCATTTTTATTCACTACTTTGAGTTGAGGGTTAATCGGGAGAAGCCTATGCCAACTCAAGGCCTGGATTGAGGAACATTTTCATATCCTTTTTGAGTCTGGGATCCGTAAGGTGATCATTGGATGAACAGTCGGCCCTCATCGTCATACTCCGGCTATAATACTCCTATGGTCTTCTCTTCCAGTGGCTGAAGCTGGCCTCTGATGATGTCAAGGAACAGATCTTCAAGCTGGCGAAGAAGGGATTGACCCCCTCTCAGATTGGTAAAGTTAACAAGTACTACCACTGTGTAATAGGAATTTCCACAAAAGGAGAGCTGTCATTGATAATATCAATTTTAAAAAAATCTATCTGGTTTAATACAAAAATTCAGGGAGAACACCTCCAGCACAGAATTACAGGAAATGTCTAACTGGGCTCTTGGAGACAGGCGTTTTATATTCTAATCAGGTCGTACAAAATGTTCTCTAAACATTTACATTGAAGTCGTTTAGCAGACACTCATCCAGAGCAACTTACAGTGAAAACATGAAAGAAAGGGGAAATGTATAAAAATGTTAAGCATTGTGTTAATCACTCTTAAAGCTGCAATATGTAACTTTTTGGGTGACTTGACCAAATTTATATAGAAAAGAGTTTGATCTGTCATTGGAAGCAAGTCCTGAGTGGCGCAGTGGTCTAAGGCACTGCATCGCAGTGCTAACTGTGCCACTAGAGATCCTGGTTCGAATCCAGGCTCTGTCGCCACCGGCCGCGACCGGGAGACTCATGGGCGGCGCACAATTGGCCCAGCGTCGTCCAGGGTAGGGGAGGGAATGGCCGGCAGGGATATAGCTCAGTTGATAGAGCATGGCGTTTGCAACGCCAGGGTTGTGGGTTCGATTCCCACGGGGGGCCAGTATAAAAAAAATATGTATTCACTAACTGTAAGTCGCTCTGGATAAGAGCGTCTGCTAAATGACGTAAATGTAAAATGTACACCATTTTTACATTTTAGTCATTTAGCAGACGCTCTTCTCCAGAGCGACTTTCAGTTGAAAATAAAATATTTTAGGTTATGGAAAATATATTTCACATCGGTTTAGATGGTACAATGATTCTCTACACTATACTTGCTTATTTTGTCACATAAACTGAAATTAGGCGAACTATTTGAATTTTAGCAACCAGGAAATGCTGGAGCAATTTCTGAATAGTGGTAAATATTAACTTTACTTTGTCTGTTCCATAGAATTATTACTGACTCAGCCCCTAGGTACTTATCATATTATTTAACTTATATTAGAGATGTCCACCAATACAACACCAGAGACTCTATTGCCTGTTTTTACATTTAAGAGTGTATCCGTTAAGACCTTTTTATATACTGGCGCTGTTGAGTGGAACAAACCATCACAGCAACTCAAAGCCTGTGTTTACCATAACGTAATTTTAAAATAATGTTAAACAAAACTGGCAAATCCAGTTTAGGGACCACAATGGAAATATGTCAGCCTTTTTTGTGATATCCCGGTCATGTTTTTATTTTTTTAAACTGGCAAATACACTGAACAAAAATATAAACGCAACAAGATTTTACTGAGTTGCAGTTCATATAAGGATATCAGTCAATTGAAATAAATGAATTAGGCCCTAATCTATGGATTTCACATGACTGGGAATACAGATATGCATATGTTGGTCACAGATACCTGGATCAGAAAACCAGTCAGTATCTGGTATGACCACCATTTGCCTCATGCTGCATGACACATCTCCTTCACATAGAGTTGATCAGGCTGTTGATTGTGGAATGTTGTCCCACTCTTCAATGGCTGTGCAAAGTTGCTGGATATTGGCGGGAACTGGAACATGCTGTCGTACATGTCGATCCAGGGCATCCCAAACATGCTCAATGGGTGACATGTCTGGTGAGTATGCAGACCATGGAAGAAATTGAACATTTTCAGCTTCCAGAAATTGTGTACCGATCCTTTTATATGCTGAAATATGAGGTGATGGCGGATGAATGGCACAACAATGGTCCTCAGGATTTCGGCAGGGGATCTCTGTGCATTCCGTAGCGTATGCCTGCCCATACCATAACCTCACCGCCACCATGGGGCACAATGTTCACAACTTTGACATCAGCAAACTGCTAGCCCACACGACGCCGTACACTCTATCTGCCATCTGCCCGGTACAGTTGAAACCGGGATTCATCCGTGAAGAGCACACCTCTCCCGCGTGCCAGTGGCCATCGAAGGTGAGCATTTGCGCACTGAAGTCGGATACGACGCCAAACTGCAGTCAGGTCAAGGCCCTGGTGTGGTTGACGAGCACGCAGATGAGCTTCCCTGAGACAGTTTCTGACAACTATTTGGTTGTGCAAACCCACAATTTCAGTAGCTGTCGGGTGGATGGTCTCAGATGATCCCGCAGGTGAAGAAGCCGGATGTGGGGGGTCCTTGGCTGGCGTGGTTACACGTGGTCTGCGGTTGTGAGGCCGGTTGGACGTACTGCCAAATTCTCTAAAACGACATTGTGGATGCGGCTTATGGTAGAGAAATTAACATTCAATCCTCTGGCAGCAGCTCTGGTGGTCATTCCTGCAGTCAGCATGCCATTTGCACGCACCCTCAACTTGAAACATCTGTGGCATTGTGTTGTGACAAAACTGCAGATTTTAGTGACCTTTTATTGTCCCCAGCATAAGGTGCACCTGTGTAATGATCATGCTGGTTAATCAGCTTCTTGATATGCCACACCTGTCAGGTGGATGGGTTATCTTGGCAAATGAGAAATGCTCACTAATGGATGTAAACACATTTGTGCACAAAATTTTAAAGAAACTTTTTGTGAGCATAATTTCTTTCAGCTCATGAAACGTGGGACCAACACTTTACATGTTGCGTTAATATTTTTGTTCAATATACAATCTATCAATATTAAGTATTCATATTAGTAATAGCAAATTATTTTCCTCTGTGGCAGACAATCCATGAATGAGAGCTTAGTATCTATTTGTTGTTGAGCTTGATTTAGGCTAGCTCATGTGCCTGTGTTTCTTCAGAATGCGTTGTTGTCATGCCAAACAGACAGGCATCCAGCCTTGACTTAGGTCATTTCTCGACTGTCAAGTTGACTCTGACCCTTCCTTCCTCCCCCTCTGTGTCCAGGTGTCATTCTGAGGGACTCCCACGGTGTGGCCCAGGTACGCTTTGTCACCGGCAACAAAATTTTGAGGATCCTCAAGACCAAGGGCCTGGCCCCAGACCTCCCAGAGGACCTGTACCACCTCATCAAGAAGGCTGTGGCTGTCAGGAAGCATCTAGAGAGGAACAGAAAGGTGTGCATAACATAAAAATGTATTTCCTTGTTGTAGGCTAATGGCTGATCAAATATGGTTTGATGGGTGAAATCTTGTCATGACAGAACAGTGTTGACTTCAAGGGACGGAGGTTGTGTTTTCTTATGCTGCATTGCATTCAGAAAGCTGTCCCTTCAGCCCCTCAGTCACACTATTGATCTGATAGAAGTGAAGGTTACGGGGTAGAAACTAGACGGTGCGCTACGTCTATGGAAGTTAGCGAAAAGGGGACCAGATGTCAGGCAGGGTTTGAAAGAACCAGAATGCATGTGTTGCGTTCATTACACACACACCGCATGCGTTTTGAAATGGAAGGGGTACTACCAAAGCTTGTCAAACAAGGATGCCCGATTTTTCATTTTCTGTTCGCAAACAATTTCCCCCATTTTGAGTCTATTAAGCAAGACACGTTGCTTCCAGAGGCAGTTTGGGACTCGGTAGTGAGTGTTGCAACCGAAGACAGACGATTTTTATGCACTTCAGCACTCAGCGGACCTGTTCTGTGAGCTTACAGTTGACTGGGGCAGAGCAGAAAATTATGAACTGACTTGTTGGAGAGGTGGCATCCCATGATGGTGCCCCGTTGAAAGTCACTGAGCTCTTCAGGAAGGCCAATTTACTGCCAATGTTTGTCTATGTAGATAGCATGGTTGTGTGCTCGATTTCATACACCTGTCATCAACGGGTGTGGCTGAAATGGCCGAATCCACTAATTTGAAGGGGTGTCCACATACTTTTGTGTATATAAAGTGTATGTTTTTGAGTGCAGCATATTTTGAGCCATATCATGGACAGCACACTCCCTTCTTGGCCAGGTGTTTTTGTACTGCATGCGGGAGGAGTCATGTTCACTCTTCGTGAATGTATTGTCAAGTTCTTTGTTTCTAGATATGCTAATATCTGTACCCCTGTTCTTTGCAGGACAAGGATGCCAAGTTCCGCCTGATCCTCACTGAGAGCAGGATCCACAGGCTGGCCCGTTACTACAAGACCAGGAGAGTACTTGCTCCCAACTGGAAGTAGTACGTACCAAAACCTCTGTCAGGGAAATGTTTTACCCCTGATAAATCCGTGAGGTAGCTTGGTGGTTAAGAGCGTTGTGCCAGTAACCGAAAGGTCGCTGGTTCTAATCCCTGGGCCGACTAGGTGAAAAATCTGTCGATGTGCCCTTGAGCAAGGCACTTAACCCTAATTGCTCCTGTAAGTCGCTCTGGATAAAGAGCGTCTGCTAAATGACTTAAATGTATCAAGCCTCTGTCTATGCCATTTATCCTGCACAATTCATTGTCCTGCTCTTTGCTCTGTAAGAGCTAAGATATTTATTTTGTGCCAGAGGAACATTGGAGCTCAATTAGCAGAGTGGCTGCACTGTGCCAACTCTACCAGTCACCTTCATACAGCACTGTATAATACACTCCAACCAATGGCTTAGTTCCTGGGATTGCCAGCACCCTGGTCATTTGATTCACATAGGCTGATTCAGACTGATCTGGGGTCAGATAGAAAGGATAAGAAAGTGAAAGTCATTATTTAATATTTTAAAGTAAAGCCTTGAAGTGAAAGTGTGGGGTGCCTGGATTTATGTTGGATCTTGAAATGCCCGGATTTATGTTGGATCTTGAAATGCAAAGTAGTTATTTGTATTCTCATGGTTGGTTGGTTTGGTGTTTCACTTTTGGATTATGAGAGTAGTAATGTGCTTTCCTATTTGTAATAATTTCCTTCTGTTTCTGTTCTACAGTGAGTCATCGACAGCTTCTGCTCTGGTGGCATAATCATCATCACGTTTTGGATAAATAAAGAATTTGGATTGAAATATTTATTTGTCTTTATTTTAAGAGGAAACGTTTGAGAATAGTTTGTTTGGCTTTATGTAGCCCACCAATGAATAACAGTCGGAATGATATGGATAGTGAAAGCTTCTATCTTTGTTATTGTGATGTCAGACATTTTAATCTACACTAACCGAAAGGGTCAGCCTCAGCTGGCTGGCTCGGGAATTTACTGGCACTTTCACTGCGTCACTAAAACACGTAATTTGAGGGAGTGTTTACAATGAGGATGTACTTGGGTGTGACTGACACTTACCTTGTCCAATCACATCATGTTATGACGACACGGACTTTATATTAGGGCAGTGTCGCACTAATTTGACATTCACTCTTTACTAGCTACAACAACAATAACAACACTGAGAATATGGCGCCACTAGTCAACATTTGAGATTTTATATAGGTAGAAAGACATACTTCTGGTGAAAATGAAGTATTTTCGTACAGTACGACAACTGACGACGGAGAGTAATCTATTTGTTTTAGACGAGGAATATCAGAACACGTGAGGATAATTCCTAGAATCATCGACATGGCTCAAGAAAAAATGGCATCAAGTGTTGGTTTTAGGAAGGGTTCTCATCGGACTGCGATGGAGAGGTTTGGCGAAGGGGGTATGGCGCTTCTACCTTGGACCAAGCACGTACTGACCGTACTGTGGGAACAACTACGGGTGTTGGTCCATGTCATTTACTACAGCTTCTTGGCAGGTAATTTGATGCAACAGAAACCTCACTGTTCATTTTGTATGTGTGGGAAATGTGGCCCCGGTCGGACTGCTAACTTGTGTTTTGTCCTGATACCATAAAACAGACGACCGTAACACAGGGTTTCTAAACCCTACTGTACTTTCTTTGGGAACATTGGGTGGGTTCTTAAATTCACTCTGGAGTTCCAGAGTGACCTCTGGTCGTTCGTAAATTCAGAACGTTGTCAAATTGTCCGTTCGTAAATTCAGAGCGTTGTCAGATTGTCCGTTCGTAAATTCAGAGCGTTGTCAAATTGTCCGTTCGTAAATTCAGAGCGTTGTCAGATTGTCCGTTCGTAAATGCAGAACGTTGTCAAATTGTCCGTTCGTAAATGCAGAACGTTGTCAAATTGTCCGTTCGTAAATGCAGAACGTTGTCAAATTGTCCGTTCGTAAATGCAGAACGTTGTCAGATTGTCCGTTGGTAAATTCAGAACGTTTCGCTCTCGGAGCGTTCAGAACGCACACTGGACGCTCTGGCGGAGGAGTAGGGTTGATCCGAGAGTTCTGGTCTCACAACTGCAGTCAAGCACCCAAGCTAACTGGCTAAAGTTAGCTAGCTTGCTAGCTACTTCCAGACATAAATGAGAGAACACCTCACTGACCATTTTACTTGCCCAAGCAGAGCTGGTTAGGCTGTTTTCGTGTTATCCAGAGCGTTGGTTACTGTGATGCTGGCAACAATTTAATTAAGCCTTTTTGCCGATGTTTACTGACACCAGCCATATTCAACGGGTGTTGAGCGTTCGTAAATTCAAAGTTATTCTCCGCTCTGGGACACTCAGACGAGAGTGCTCTGAAATCGGAGGAGATAGCCAGAGCGAATTTACAAACGCACCCAATATATCGGTAGTTTACGTAACTTATTTTAGAACACTGGCAGAATGTACTAGTGACGTTACAAAGTAACAAATGCCGGATATTGAACTACTGTTGCCATAATATTGTCAACAAATATATTTTTGTTAATTGTTAAATCCATACAGTCTGGTTTAATCAGGCAAAAGAGGACATTTTGGGAGAATTTGATATTGAGCCAAATCTTTTTGTTTGATTATTTTAACAGTTTTCCAAATGTTCCGGTTTGAAGTCCACCTGAGAATCACGGACGAAACTGGTCAACACGTCCAGCACATGACTACTGCAGCAAATCAAGCCGACTCCTTTCTCTTCTCCTCATTGTTTGACAGTGACGAAAGCGTCATGCTTGCTGGCTCTAACACCCTATCGAATTTCTGCGGGGACGTGGGTGATTCCTTCTCTGGGAATTCCCACTCAGGGGCCCTTCTGTCCAGCCTACGGGCTGAGGAGCTGTGCTGCGGATTGGTGGACGACTTTGTGTCCCGTGCCACGATGGATAGCGAAGATGGACTGTGCCTTGGACATCACCCCAGCTGGAAACTGGGCTTTCCAGGTGACTGGAACCTGTTTATGAGCAGCACTGAAAGCAGCTCCAGCTCGGATGAAATGTGTTGCAAGGAGAAAGTGTTTGACTTCAAACCCAAACATGACACCACCGAAGATGATATGGATCTTAGCTGGGGAAAGGAGGATGACCGAAACATGGGTGAGTTTGACAGCGAGGACAGTAAAGCACTTTGGGAATCCTTGTCCATCTCCAACGACCCCTACAACCCCTTCTCTTTCTCCGCCTGCATTTCAAGCTGCTCCAATATGGGGGAAATAAAAAATGAAGATTGTGTTGGGAGCAGCCTCGATTGTAACCTATCCAGCAGGCCTGGCGAAGAACTTCAAGAGACCTGCGGTGGCGTGAGCTTCTGGAGCAGCCGTTCAGATAGCGAGAGCAGCTGGGGGAGTTCAGATGGTTCGTGCGCAGACCTGGACAAAGAGGAGAGCGAGAGGCTCTGGGAGCTCTTCACCAGCCCCACCGACCCATACAATCCCCTGTGTTTCACGGCATCTGTAGTCAGCTCAGTCCCTCACACAGAGAAAGCACTTACACACTCCCAGGAGGCTGAAAGGGCCTCAGTCATGACCTCATGTTCTTCTGACACAGAGAGGGAGAGCGTGGGCCCTTCCTCCTTTGAGGATGACGAGGAGGAGCAGCTGTGGAGGTCCATCTCCCAAAACGACGACCTTTACCACCCTCTGAACTTCCGTGCCTGCCTCCAGAGATTCCCTAAAACCACAGAGCCACCTGCCTTCAGCACAAAAGACCCACTCACCCCACAGAGCTGCCCCACACAGACACCACCCGGCCATGCTAAGCAGAGGGGGACCAAAAGCCCCCAAACAACCAGTCCTACAAAGCCTTGTCTACCCAAGAGACAGCTGAAGCAGCATTGCCACCCAGTTACTACACTGGTGCCCTGGAGGAGACCAGAAGCTAAAGTAACACAGGAAGACAAGGACAAACAACCTCTAAAAAAGGTTATTATAGTTCTACATCCCTCAGTCTATAGTCCTAGTTCTAACGTTACCACCTTAAACATGATATACTCCTATCACATCATCCATATAAACATACACAACCAAACATGGACTATTTATATCTCAAATTGACATATTAGCTAAACATGAACACACAAGAAATCCAGTTCACACTACTTGAATATTAGGAACTGAATATTAGGATGGGAGAACCACTTATTTACTCAGAAATACTTGGTATTAACAACCAATGTATGTGATAAAAAAATAAATAGGTCATGTCACTTGTAGTTTATGGTGAGGTCAGTCAACATGACTATTGCCTCATAAGCTCGCACTAAGTGTGATTACCCAAGCCCTTGTTTATGGTTGATTAGCAACAACAGGTTGTTATGACTAACCCCGTCATGTGATACGAGTCAGCAGAGACTTCAGTTCCAGTTAATTGGTGTTGTGCAAGTCTCTCTGCCAACACTGCAGTCACCTGCTCTTGGTAACATACTGGATTAGAATGTTTCAGATGGAACTAAAACTGTCCGTTGTGTTAAATTCTACACTACAATAATGTGAGATTGAAGACGACCTTATCTGACTGACACGTGTGTACCTGTTGTGTTTTAGGTGCGGTTTTCACCACTTGTTCAGGTTCACGTGATGCATACTTGGCCCTTCGCTCGGCAGGCGTCTCGCAAAGGACCCTGGGAGGAGCTAGCCCGAGACAGAGGACGGTTCCGAAGGAGGATCCAAGAAGCAGAGCAGGCCATTGGCTACTGCTTCGGTCAATCTCACAGAGAGAAGATCTGGGCCAATCTGCTAAGCATTTCAACATCAGCCACACCCCTGGTCCATGAGCTCCGAACATAAATGTTTTTCCATAATTTTCTATTGAACTTTTGACTGGTTGCAATGCAACATGTGTTTTTAGGTCAGTTATAAGAAAGGTGGTCCTAGGCCAATAGGATTTGTCATCAAATTTTACCTGCACTGTACCTCAAAACACTCAACTGTGACTGTTGCACTGATTTTATATTTATTTTATATTTATTATAGTTATTAACCTTGTATTTAATGTACTTTTGTATGCCTTACTGACTGACCCAGCAATGTAATTTATTCATGCCCTATGGAGCTTGTTTTTATTGTAAATGTTTTAAGTGTTTGAATTGTATCAGTTTTGAAATCTTAATCCAGATAAGTGGTGTATTTAGAACTATAATAATAATAATAATAAGCAGATGGTATTTGTGATCATACTGTAGTTCATAAATAAAACCTTGTTTCACACCATAATCATAATGGACTGTCTATGTTAATCTTTACAGATTCAGAATTTTCCTAAGCAGGTTAAAGGAAAGATTCACCCACATTGAATGTTATATAGTTTTTGTGCATCTCTGAGCGGTGTGACATTCAAAATGGCTGAATCTTGACTTTAACATGAGCATCTGCTTTTACATGTCAATTACGTGAACTTCCGTTTGTGTGATTGATTTATTTTACTGTAAAGCAGTGTTGTTACCCTAATTCAGTGGCCTGAAACTGATGGTTTTCAGGCCAACAAGTTGCATTATGATGGCTTGCAAAGTGATGTGTAATTCCTATTGGAATCCAGCCAAAGTGGGGATATCCAACATTTTGAATTTTTATTCACCAACAACCTGGATTCAGGATGACTGCCGGTTAGGAAGCAGTGATGGATTGTTCGCGAACGAACGGCTCTTTTTGGTGAACGTTGGGAACCGAATAGCATCGGTGAAAGAGACATTCATTTGGCTCCCTGATTTGCCTACTGCTGCTACTGTTTTTTTAGTTTAAAACAACCATTATCTACAAATAAGTTACAAAATAATTATCTGAAGATTGTGAATCCTCATTGCAGAAACAGTACACAGTGGGGAGAGCGCATCATTGTGGTCCACGCTAATTTTTGCAGTGACCTTACATTTTTTTGCAGGCAATCTAACAATTTGACCAGGTAAACATGTATTTGATCGTGCATATCATGATCTGACACAATGGTAGCTTAATTTTTGAGCATTACATTAGAGATTTTCAATTTTGTCATGGTTCTTGGCATAGAATTAGGAGTTAGAGATCCTAATACTATGTTATGTATTCTATGGTTCTAGGTCAATTTTCAAGCATTTTGAATGATGAGCCGTTGGGAGTCAAATGATGCGGCTCTTTTACGTGAACGGAGACAAATGATACAACTCACCCAAAATACTTAGAATGCCCATCACTAAACTTTTGGGAAGAATAAGGTATGAGACTACCTAAAGCATCTAAACTGGAACAACCATTTCAGTAACGGGTGCAATAAATCCAAGTAACAGATTGGATTAGTTTAGAAAAATGTATGTTATTTACATTCCCGAGTTCTTCCCGAGTGGCGCAGCGGTCTAAACCACTAGTACGGACCCTGGTTCGACTCCAGGCTGTATCACAATCCGGCCGACATTGGGAGTCCCATAGGGCGGCGCACAATTAGCCCAGCGTCGTCCGGATTTGGCCGGGGTAGGCCGTCATTGTTAATAAGAATTTGTTCTTAACTGACTTGTCAAGTTAAATAACGGTGAAATGAAAAAAAATCCAAAATATTTGAGTAGCACAACATTAATTAATCAATTCTAACTGCAACAGCAATTGTTAGATACAATAGTACATGCGAAAGCATAGATATTGAAACAAACAACTCTAAAAATCAACCTGCGGTAGAGCATGCTGGGAAATATGATAATGAGGGTGTGGTTTTGGTTTAACGCTGGTTATTAACACCAACACTGGGGTTATTTTACACCACTGAGTTAATTTAACACCTGAATCAACACTAGAAATCTAACACTGAAAGTTCTGTGAGCTTGTGTGGCCTACCACTTCGCGGCTGAGCCATTGTTGCTCCTAGACGTTTCCACTATCTCTTCAGTAAGGCCATTCTACTGCTAATGTTTGTCTATGGAGATTGGCGGTGTGTTTGATTTTATACACCTGTCAGCACCGGCTGTGGCTGAAATGGCCGAATCCACTCATTTGAAGGGGTGTCCACATACTTTTGTGTATATAAAGTGTATTTTAATCTATCCCTCTCATTCACACCTTTATTCACTTTATTTTATTTACACACTCACACATTTCCCCCTCCTGCCCACTCACTACTAGATTTACTCACTCTCATTTCCAGGGAAGGTCCCTTCGAGACGGCATCCATCCTCAGAGAGACTACTGCAAGGATTGTGTAAGATGAGTTAAAAACAAAAGTATGATGAAATTACTTCCCTGGAGAAGAAATCAATTAGCATGTCCCCTTGACACACTACAGGGAAGCCTCCAGCAGCATGGTGTAAAGGTCGGCAATCGCTGACATGACTTTGCAATGCTTCCCAGCAGGTGACTCATGTGACAGATGCTTGGGTGACATTTTTTCTTGTTGAGTGTTTTGATATGTTGCACTCAGTAAGCACCACACCAAACCCAGTCTTACTGTCTAATGTATCCCTTGTTGCGCTTAGACGCAGTTCTGCTGAGAAGCTTTTAAGGAGCCACAGATCCATCAGATTAGAGGATAGGCTTCCTGGTATGTCACGAATGAATGCTTAATTCTATTCTATCCTACCTTAAGTCAACTAGTCACTTAAATTAACCTTTTATCTACTGTTGCGGTGAGGTGTTGTTTTGGGTAGCAGATCGTGATGAAGAAATGTACAGTGCCTTGCAAAAGTATTCATCCCCCTTGGCGTTTTTCCTATTTTGTTGCATTACAACCTGTAATTTAAATGGATTTTTATTTGGATTTCATGTAATGGACATACACAAAATAGTCCAAATTGGTGAAGTGAAATTTAAAAAAATAACTTGTTTCAAATAATTCAAAAAAATAAATTACGGGAAAGTGGTGCGTGCATATGTATTCACCCCCTTTGCTATGAAGCCCCTAAATAAGATCTGGTGCAACCAATTACCTTCAGAAGTCACATAATTAGTTAAATAAAGTCCACCTATGTGCAATCTAAGTGTCACATGATCTGTCACATGATCTCAGTATATATACACCTGTTCTGAAAGGCCCCAGAGTCTGCAACACCACTAAGCAAGGGGCACCACCAAGCAAGCGGCACCATGAAGACCAAGGAGCTCTCCAAACAGGTCAGGGACAAAGTTGTAGAGAAGTACAGATCAGGGTTAAAAAAAAAAAAACGGAATCTTTGAACATCCCACGGAGCACCATTAAATCCATTATTAAAAAATGGAAAGAATATGGCACCACAACAAACCTGCCAAGAGAGGGCCGCCCACCAAAACTCACAGACCAGGCAAGGAGGACATTAATCAGAGAGGCAACAAAGAGACCAAAGATAACCCTGAAGGAGCTGCAAAGCTCCACAGCGGAGATTGGAGTATCTTTCCATAGGACCACTTTTGTCACGCTCGTCGGGAACAGAGGAGGACCAAGGCGCAGCGTTGCAGGCAAACATACTCTTTATTTAGCGATATATTGACAAAAATAAACAAAACGATAACGTGACAGTTCACAGTCTAACACAGACCAACTAGAAACAAGATCCCACAACTACTGTGGGAAAACAGCCTGTTTAAATGTGGTTCCCAATCAGAGACAACCAGCCACAGCTGACACTCGTTGCCTCTGATTGAGAACCACACTGGCCAACATAGAAATGAACCAACTAGAACTACAACACAAATCTACACACCCTGGCTCAACATAACAGTGTCCCCAAAGCCAGGGCGTGACAGTACCCCCCCCTAAAGGCGCGGACTCCGACCGCGCCAACCAAATACCACAGGGGAAGGACCGGGTGGGCACTCCGCCTAGGCGGCGGATCCGGTTCCGGACCTGATCCCCACTCCCTCTCCAACCCCTCAAAGTACCCCTGGTCCGGTCTGGCCCCGCTGGCCGGAGCTGGACTGCACACTGGTGGAGCGGATTGCTCTAGCTCCGGCGTGAAGCATCTGACCGGTGCCGGACCAGGCACCGGTGGAACAGGCACGGGCCGTGCCGGACTGACGACGCGTACCATAGGCTTGGTGCGGGGAGCAGGAGCGGGCCTGACCGAACTGGCGACGCACACCACTGGCTTGGTGTGGGGAACAGGCACGGGCCGTGCCGGACTGACGACGCACACCACTGGCTTGGTGTGGGGAGCAGGAGCGGGCCGGACCGGGCTGGCGACGCACACCACTGGCTTGGTGTGGGGAACAGGCACGGGCCGTGCCGGACTGACGACGCACACCACTGGCTTGGTGTGGGGAGCAGGAGCGGACCGGACCGGGCTGGCGACGCACACCACTGGCTTGGTGTGGGGAGCAGGAGCGGGCCGGACCGGGCTGGCGACGCACACCACTGGCTTGGTGTGGGGAACAGGAACAGGCCGGGCCGGGCTGGCACCACAGGCTCGATGCGAGGAACAGGAACAGGCCGGACCGTGCTGGGGACACACACCACTGGCCCTATGCAGGGATCAGGAACGGGCCGGACCGGACTGGTAACACACCCCAGTACCTCTCGCCGTGCCTCTACACCTTCCTTCCCCTCTTCGACCAGTGGCCCCCGTAACCTGGCGGCCTCCTCTGCCAACCCGCTGGGCTGCTCTGTCGCGGTCTCCTGCTGCCCCGTCGTCCACGGCGTTAGCCCCCCAAAATTTTTTTTATGGGCTTCACTCCTACCCGTGGACCAGGTCTCCATACTTTTTGCCAGCCTTTCGCCCTTCTGCTTCCACGTCAAGCCCCTCTCTTCCTCACATGGCTTGACCCAGTCGAGGAGGCGAAGGAGATCCGCTAGAGATCTCTCAGGCGATGGCTCCTGGACTTGCTGCTTGGTCCAGTCTTGGTGGGATCTTCTGTCACGCTCGTCGGGAACAGAGGAGGACCAAGGCGCAGCGTTGCAGGCAAACATACTCTTTATTTAGCGATATATTGACAAAAATAAACAAAACGATAACGTGACAGTTCACAGTCTAACACAGACCAACTAGAAACAAGATCCCACAACTACTGTGGGAAAACAGCCTGTTTAAATGTGGTTCCCAATCAGAGACAACCAGCCACAGCTGACACTCGTTGCCTCTGATTGAGAACCACACTGGCCAACATAGAAATGAACCAACTAGAACTACAACACAAATCTACACACCCTGGCTCAACATAACAGTGTCCCCAAAGCCAGGGCGTGACAACTTTAAGCCGTACACTCCACAGAGCTGGGCTTTACGGAAGAGTGGCCAGAAAAAAAGCCAGAAAAAAAGAAACAAACACGTTTGGTGTTTGCCA